AAGGCTGGTAATTAAGGCTTAACCCAAGTTCCTGCAAGTTTTTAATTCACTGGTGGACAAGAATATTCCTTCTCCTGTCTGCCTTGTTTCTTTGTTGTTTGTCTTTTTTCAGGTGGTTTTAATTTTATTTTAAAGAAGCATAGTTTTTGGGAAGTCCAAAGGGGTGTTGCAAACTTAGATTACAATAGGTGCTGCTGTTTACAAACTCAGCTTGAATCCTGTTATGTGTCTAAGACATGTCTGGTTTTGTTGTATCCAGTTTTATAGCTGATTTAATAAAATTCTGCAAACCAGAATATCACAAATTCTAATAATGTAACCCGAAATCCAGTGTATGTTTTTACTTCCTTCATAAAAAGAAAAGTTATTTTATGGAGACTAGAATAAACTAATTTTTTTAAAGTTAATTGTAACATTTTTATTCCTTGTGTAAAAATTGCTGTTGCTGGCACAGTGATAGATACCATACCTCTTGAGGTATTTTATTTAATTTGAAGAAAGTGGTTATTTCTTGAGAGAGACGCCAGTAGCAGCAAAACAGCCAGAACAGTGGCTCTGCTCACAGGCTTTGCAATCTCAGTCTTTTTCAGTATAGATCCTAATATATGGAAAAGAAGTAAGTGGTATTTGTTTTTCTTTCAGTTAAAGAGCAGCGTAACCACCACTGCTGGCTTGATAAAACACCATAATTGGATTGTTGATTTTATGTAATCTTAGTGACTGAGCTTTGCAGTCCCATACACTCATGGCATAGCAAACCAAGAGAAATGCAAAGTCACTGTGTGTTTGAGTGCATCCACTTTGGTAGTGTCTTGTTTCTGTTGTGAACTGGCTTAATTGGCTTGGACTATACGAAGTTCACAAAACCTCAACTGGAAAGAATGGAGCAGGATTTTAAAGTCTAAATTTCTCAAGCAGAAGCTGAGGATATGAAATGTGTATCACATGTAAAAGTCTTATTTCTCCTAATGCACAGCAAGTACCACAGAGAGGCCAGTGCAGAAGGGAAGACTGTTTCAACTTGTTAGGGTTCCCCTGCAAGTGTCCCCTTGAGCGGGATCGCTTCACCTTGTGAAGTTCAGTGAAATGCCTTTCTGGCACTTGCCATCCTCTCTCCCTTAATGACACTAATTTAGTAAAGAACCCTCTTAACGCTGAGACTAATCTAGCAAGAGCTTTGCTGCACAGGATAAAATAAGCAGACATTTTCCTAAGCTGTAAGTGAAGGTGAAGACAGCAAACTGAGCTGCTTGTACATGACTCCAGAGCTTTTCAAAAAAAACCTGAGTGGACTTTTAGTGGGTGTCTTTTTCACAAACACTTTCAGACTTGTCAGCCATAGACCAAATAAGTTTTGTAGCCTCATTCTTTGACTGTAAAGAAGCCTTTTTAGGGCAAGAAAGTGAAATGATTCAGGAAATCCTGTGGATGTTCCACTGCCTCAAATCAAGGAACTTCTCTGGAGAACACGGGTTTTGTATTATCTTAGCAGACAAGCAGAATTGCTCTGACACTGATGAATATTTTTTATTAGACAGGAGTAAAATATTAATGAGATGAAGTAGCATCCTACTTCAAAGACATGAGAATCTCTGCGATTCTAGTGCTTTTGTGGTGATTGATTTTGTTTGTTTACTTTTTATTAATCTGTTTGTGGATAGCAAAAAGCAAATATGTGACTCAGAGCTCTGGTTGTTCTGAGGGTCTTGTTTTGGTTTTTGGGGGATCTGCGTTTGTGGTTTTGGTGTTCGGCTTTTTTAATCTTTCTTTCTGTGGACTGTGGATGAAGCAATTCAATAGAGAATCAAGTTTGGGGAAGTCTTTAAGCAGTGTAGATGTTTGATGAGGGACGGTGTAATGCTCTGAAGTCTGAGAGCACTTGTTTGGGTTTTTTCAACACCTAAAAGCAGAAGACTGCATAACACATAAAGCATTTCCAAAGGTGTTGATGTTCAGGAGTTCTTATGGGAGTTTTTTGAACCACAGTGAGGAAGCATGTAAGTGTGGCATAAACAGATTGGGTGTCCTAAGCTGTCCTTTGTGGACTGTGCTGCAAGTGAAGGTGTGGAGGTGTGTCTGAAGGACAAGCCTGTGGGGCAATAGTGGCATTCTGAAAAATGTGTGTGAGAGTAGATTTTGTTACTTCTCCCTTGTGGTTCTTCACATTCTTTCAGCTGTTTTCAGGAACATATAAAGATCTTTTTCACTAGATATTGCAACAAACAGAGTTATTACACTTTATTTGCATTCCCATTTGCTTGTTTGGTTTATCTTTTCTAGTTGGTGTAAGCAGTCTTTCTTTTTATGTGACCCATGATATTTCCTTAACTGTCTTGAAAACAATCCTCCTGAAAAGTCTGGGCTTCTGAAGTCCAGCTTTAGCAGTGGTTTCTTTTGCTACTTTGTTAGTCATTTCAGATACACTGTAAGAATCCTAAAATGGATAAGAGGTGGGAAAATAGTGGAGCTGCATGAGTGAAAAGTTTGCTTCATAAATCAGAAACAATTTTTTTTAATCCTCAGGGGTTCAGAGGAAAATGCTATACTGTTTTATCATGAGAATATCTTTAAAGGAATTGCTATAAAGCTGTGCAGCTGTGGAAATCCCCCAGCTTCTCTAGAGTTCTGTGGAGAGGTTTCCTCTTTGTTCAGCTGGAATTTGGTGCAGATTTCACAACTGGCCATTTACTTCTTCTGGAGGCAATTGCAGAAGAGAGATGCCAAACTAATGTTTGTTGGTATTCATTAAAGATCCTCTCTGGTCTTGCAACTTAGAGGTTTCACTCCTGATATACTTCTAGTTGAAGAATGTAGTAACTTTGGGAAGGTGGGCTGCTTATGACATTTAACACAGTAATATTTGCATGAAAAGCAGTACTGCACATCTGAAGCCAGTTTCAAGGCTATTTATTTTTTTGTTTTGGTTTGGTTTTTTTTATGCAAGTAAAAAGTTGTGGGTGGAAGAGTGAGTAGAGTGAGGATTTATTTTGTGGTTAGCTGTGGATTTTTTTTATTAGTCAAGTGTTTAAAAAGAAGTTCTGGACTTGCTGTATGGCTAATAACATATGGCAGACCGTTAGGGGCCTTTTGAGATTGGTCTAGATTAGTTTCTCCTTTCTCTTTCAAATTTCAGAGAAAAATAACAGCTATCTGGCAGTGCAAAACCCTGGCCTAATGCTGCTGCTGCTTCTGTATGTGGAAGGAGGGAAAACTTCTGCATCTCTTGGTACAAAGATGCATTAAATATCCAGGCTTCGGCTTACATTGTGTCACTTACATGTGAATTACAGACTTTAAACATATTATCAGCACATAAGTTGACTTCTGCAAAATAGCAGGAGCTTGGCTGTGTGGAGTATTCGAAGTAGTGCAGTTCTTAATGCACATTTTCAAACAGTACAATCAGCTGGTTCAAGGTAAATGATAACTGCAAACTTGCAATAAATGGCAGGGGAAATGTTTTTATTGGAAAAATACTTTTCCCTTAAGATGAATTAAAACAGTTTTAAGGTTTGTATAGTACTATAATTGGTTTAATTAATTTGTATAGTACTATAATGGTTTTCAGGTTTGTATAGTACTATAATTCATACAGTACTATAAGCAGTCTAAGTTGTCCAGAGTTGCAGAGTATGTGAGGAAGGATAAGGAAATGGTTTCAGCTACTGTTTGTAAAATAATTAATCCTCAAGAAGCAAACTGTGTAGGTATATATTCTGTTATATGTGCCTGCCAGCTTCTCAGATTTCATTTTTACTGTAATGTTAAACAGTCTTTTGAAATAATGGAAATGGAATAAAACAACTTGATTCAATATTTAGTAATTTAAGCTGTGTAGAACATATGCACAGATTGATCATTGTTTTCTTCTCTCACTTTGGTACAAAGCTGTGAGTGTAATAATGAAACTTGACATGGCAAAAGAAGAAATTAAAAAAAAATAAAGTTCTTTATATTGTTATGGTTTGTCTGTTTCTCCTTTGTTGTAAATAGAATGATTTTCATAGGATTTGGTAGAACTTGACTTTGTTCTGAATTTTTTTCTATTCTGTGAGTGCTAGATAAAATCAGACAGGCCACTTTGAAGCTCCAGCACTGGCAGGAATGTTACAGGTGTGCAGGAAACCTCAGACCTAGTAATTTGGCAAAGAAATGACACTCTCAACCCAAGTGATGCCTCCAAGCCTGTCTTGCTTCATGGCAAGGGAAGTTCTCTGGAGCTTGTTGGTAGTTCACTCACCAGACCTGTAAGGACCAGTTTTGCGTTGCCAATTAAAAATCCTGATTTTGATCTTTTGACTGATAGATTTTGTTTTGTCTCTGAACATCCCAACTAAAGCCATCTCTGCCATACTTGTATGGAAAATAATAGCTTTGTGGAGGTAAGGCATGGCTGGAAGCCAGGGCTCCAAGTGTTCCAGTCATCCTAAAATATATTTGGGTTAAAAAAGCAGTTGAATTAAGAAGGAGAATAACTTTTCTTAAAATAAGCTATAGGATTTTCTTCCTCTTTCAGAGTAAATTACAGTGCAAGACAACACTAAATACTTTATAGTCAAAAGATTTTCTGCTTAATAGTGACCTTTCAGTTAAATGTGCTACTCACTGGAACAACTTTCAGTGGATGCTACAATTTGTTTTTAAAACTTTACATTAGTGGATTGCTTTGCTACTTTTTGCCACTAGACAACTAAGTAAAAGGTTCTTCTGATGAAGTCTGGTCTTCCTTGCATGTGTTGTTTGCCCTTCCATTTTTTATATTGTACTTGTGAAAATCTGTCATCCTTTAAGCTAGTAGCAAGGGAACCTCTCAAGTGCTTTTTTTTGTTTGTTTGTTTGTTTTTTAACTTATTCAAGGAGTGAAGTGGAAAATATTTGAGATATTAAGCTAATTTCACATTTGCCATAAACTCCAAAAGCTGCTCTATATTCAGGAGAATTATGGGAGAGTGCTCAATATTTCATCTTTGTCTGTTCTTTCAGAATAAGACCAAAAAGCCTAAGCCAAAATCCGGTTGATTTTATTTTTGGTTCCATTAAACTAATTGTACTTGCCCATTGGAATAATATTCCCAAAGTGGTCATGCTGACATAGATTCTGCTACAAGTCACCTCTTGCAATAAAGAAGTGCACGCTAGTGTTGAGAACTAGGACCTGGGGTGGGGGATATGTATGTGTGTAGGTATATAAATTTGTTTGTATAAGAGGTTGTCTGCCTCAAATGGCAAATAAGTTTCTCAATATTATGGGGAATGCAGTTACAATGAAAAACACAATGTCCACATTTGTAATCAGGATGGGTACTAAAAATGAGAGCCAATTGCTCTGTTCTGGTACTTCTGAGGCATTAGATCGAGCTGTACTCTGGTATTGCATACTGTCCTGCACTACTCTCCTATTTCTACATAGCAGAGATCCAACCTGCACAGCCAAATCTGTAACTGAGTCATTTGGTTGCATAATATTAATGTAATTAGCACAATCTCATGTGAAATATTCAGTCAACATTGTAAAGAGATGAAAGGACAATACCAAGAGCAGGACAAAGAATTAATGACAATTACAAGGTGGCAGTAAACACCTCTGACTTTCACAGTTAGATACAGTCCCAGTTTCACCTGACTTGAGGGAAGACCTTTCTAATTGTCAGCACAAGCAGAACAATTTTATATTTTCCATGTCTTCACCGTGCAGAGGCAGCTTAATTCAGTCATCAATAAATTAATCCTTGTTGCCCAATGGAAAAATGTCAGGATGCTATAAAAGTAGTTATGAAATATATGTACTGTGCTGTCCACTAGAGTATGGTTGTCTCTTTATCCAAGTGTTTCTTCCCATGTGCTGTTCATCTTGGGGACTGAATGACATAATTAGGAATTGCTCCTGTTTGTCCTTGGGATGAATGGTGTTAGCTCCTTGGAATCTTCAGTGTGTTCTTGATGGAGGTGGCCGCTGGCTCCGGTGTTAGGCGTACAGGGTGAGCTGCAGCCACTGAAAGAAGAGTTAAAGGATGGATGAGTTCTTGGTGTCCTCCCACAAAATGTATGAAGACACCTCCTTGTCTAGCTGGAAGGCAGCTGCTTGCTGTCACTTAGCATGGAGTGGCAGTGGGGAATTTTCTTGAGTCTCTTGCTCCTATTTCTCCTTCCCTTGCAAAAAGTGAAGGGTGTTTTAAATGGTCTCCCTCACAGAGGACATGAAGTTGAAACTTTCTAATTCTTCTTAACAAGATTTTTAAAAGATAAAGAGCTATGCTATAAGCCATGCTAAGAACTATTATCATTTAATACCATTCACTGTGTTTGTTCTAAGTTGCCTAATAAAAAAATAATTTCAAAAGTTTTTTGATGGACTTTAAAGATATGACGAGGCCGCAGCCGTACCCTTCAGCACCAACTGGAGTCTTACAGAGAGCAGTTGTTGCTGGCAGATCATGGATGTTTTCTGTGTAAAATTGGTAGCAAAATTTTAGGAGGTTTTGGGGTTTCTTACCAATTGGGTGACAATTTCAGATGAACTCTATTCATAGAGTTCTCCATTGAAAATATGTACAATGATTAATACAATTAAAATCTAGTATTGTGATGTTGTGTTAGCCATACTCTCATAAAGCAGTTTACCTCCAGGACATTGAGCTTAATGATGCCATCTCCATCTTTGTCAAACGCGTGGAATGCCCCTAAAGTAAGAAAACAAAAATACAGGGAGTAGATTAGATTACTGTGTGAGTAAAGATGATTCCAGACAGGAAATCAAACGGTGCTCCCATTGTGAAATGCCAATTTGTGCAAGTCTTCACTCATGGGGTCACTTTCTGCTGCATTTTTCCTTAGTTAATTCAAGGAGAAACACAGTGGTTTCTTCTGTGTGTATGAGAGAACTTGTCATCTTAGACTCCCTAAGCACATATCTTTAATAATTAGCACCCTACATAGGGGCAGTAGTGCTGTGAACAAACTTTGCAGTGAGTATGATGGGTTCTGAGCAATCTGGGCCAGGGCGAGGTGTCCCTGCCCACGGCATGGGGGTTGGAACCAGGTCATCCTTGAGGTCCTTTTCAGCCCAGTGTGTTCCATGGATCCATGGCTGTGTCTGGGGGCAGGAGGGGGTAGGGCCATGGCACCGGGGCAGCCACTCACGGAACATGGCGTCCAGGCGCACGAAGCAGCAGATGAAGCTGTCGAAGTCGATGTTCATGTTCTTGTCGGCGTAGCGCATGGTGATGATGTCGTAGAGCTGGTTGTTCAGCCGAAACCCTGCAGGGAAGCAAGAACGGGCACAGCTGGGCTCGGGCGGGGAAGGCGCTGCTCCCTGTGGGGCTGGGCCACAGGCGCTGCCCTGGCCCAGCTGAGGCTCAGGCTGGAGCGTCCTGCTGCAACTGCTAAACTAAATGATGTAAAGCTATAAGGAGCTTCACTGTGTTCAGTTGCCTTCCTAAACCAGGAGCAATGCTTTGAAGTTATGATTTGAGAGCGCCCTTAGCACGTGAGTGACCTCGGGCTGTAAGTGTGAGGAGGAGAGCTGCAGACCCACAAGGCCTGATGGCTCAGCTGGGCCTGCTGAGAGCAAATCAGCTAAAACGGGGGGACAGACGTGCGGGAGGAAGTTGCTATAAAAACACAATTAAACAGTGGTCAGAAAATAGACAAGGAGGCAACTCCTTGGTGTGGTGGGACTGAATTTCTGGCACTGAATGCTGCAGCTTGTGCTGTGCCTTGAAAGGGTCTGTCACGGTTTGGGTACAGCTGTTTTTTGGCTAAATGTAAGGTCATGCACAGCTTATGTGCTGTAGGGCTCTGAAATATTCTCAGTTCTAAAGTCAGGGCAGGAGGTATTTAACTATTTTCTTGTTTTACAGTGACAACTTCCGTGGTGAGAACAGAAACATGGAAAATAAAAATTACCCATATTTCTACCACAGCAGGAATGCAAATCCAGGTGTAGTTTTGTCTTTAGAAAAGGACTGCAGAATCATTTAGGTTTTGTAAAGTGCAAGGTTTGCCCTTTGTTTCTGTTCCTTGATGTGCCAAAATACTACTGAAAACAAAGTGTCACTGAAATCCTCCCATCTAGGTTTATAGTGATACTACATATTTTCTGATCAGAGGTTTTCTTGCTCCCTTAGAGACCCGATAAAGACATTTGTGGGGGGAGGCCTGCTCCTCAGGGAAAGAAGCATACTGGTGTGTCTGAGACAAGCAGGAAAAGTCCAAAGTCTCTCTTATAAGAATGAATTTCATTAACTGCAAGTTTTGCAAAAACACTTTCTTCTCCTTGTGCAGGTAGAAGAGACTGAACCCACCGTGGCTCAGTACTGAAGAAACTTTAACATGACTAAAGAAATGTCCACCCAATTGCTTGTGATGAACACTTGGACATAGACCTGTTCCATCCTGGTTTCAGTACCTGTACACTTAGGTGGAAGGTTTTCCACTGTTCTTTGTTTTTTACTTACACAAATGTATAGAATCCAGAATTTAAATGTCTTCAGTACTCCCTGGTCTCCCTGTATAGCAGGACCCTGAGTAGGACATCCTTAAGACAGCAAAGCATCACTCATTGCATTAAAGAGGAGCTGAAGATCTATTTGGCTGGCAAGACATACAAGGCTTGCCATTTGGATATTTGAGAAGCTCTGCTGAGGGAAAGAAATATTTTATAATTTCTCTAGGATCTGTCCTTAAAAGGCAGCACTGTGTTCAGTGACCTCACCCTGTGATGCACCAAAACAAAACGAAATTTCTTCAGCTGTGGATGCTGCACAGGGGGACAGTACCTGCATCATTGACTGCATTGCGCATCTCGTAGCTGTTAATGGTTCCTGAATGATCCGTGTCATAACGCTTGAAAATTTTCTGGAAAATGAAAAAAACCACAGACAACAGTAATAAAAACTTGTCCTGCTCTTGAATGCACTCACTGAGGGGACATGAGGTGTGTGCCTCAGGCACTTAGAGGCTTTGCCACGTGCCTTATATTGCCACTGCTGGGCATTCTGGGTTGTTAGCACAGAGTTCCTCTCAGATGCAAAATAAAATCATTTAGAATGAATTTCTGGGAAGCAAAAAAGCTTTCCCTTGAGACTCTCCTTGTTTGACTTGAGTTTATGCTGGTAATCCTCCTTGGCTTGATTGCCCTAATTAAGTTATTATTCAGGCCTGATTCTAGTTCCCATCATTCTCCTTTAATTTGTATGCCTCTGTGCTACTCTCATGGGGGAAGGCTGTACATGAGATATTCAGGCTATTTGCTTAGGCTGTGAAGTAGGATGAGGAGAGACTCTTCATTACTTTTCATTTTTTAAATTAATTCATTACTATTTTTTAGCCTTTCTCTTTGATGGAACATATGTGGAGAGTTCTAGTTTTCCTGTAGAGTACTTGCACTGCAGAAGCTGTGAAGAGGAGCTATGAAGATACCAGCAATACCTGCCAGCTTTTAATCTTGTCCCAGAGATGTCGAAATTCATCAAAGTTTATCTTCCCTGAGCCATCTGTCTGTGGTGCAAACATTCAGGTAAAAAACCCACAATACTTTTAGAATAAAATTAATTAAGTCTGCAACTGATGAAGGGATGAATGTAAAACTGGGTTGGGGATCTCAGCATAAAGAGTTGACTCAGCTGTGCAGTAAAATGTTTGTAAACATTTGGTTATTGTGCATAGCATAGTGATTCAAGAGTGTGAAGTACTGCTTTTTGTGTAGAAGATAACTTCTGATACAGGACACAGCTTTGCCTCTGGAACTTTAATATAATTCTAAAAATGTGAGAGTAGGATGTTTTAATGGGTTCTTCTGAAATACCTCCAAATGTGAAGCTCACCCAGTGCTTTTTTAACTGAGCTTTACTCTGGAGTGAAGCTCTTTCTGCTTTACTTAAAATGAATTAAGAAATAAGCAAAATGTTGGCTAAAGCTCTTTGCAATGGTTAGGCTCCAACCGTTATGGCTGTGGGTTGTAGTTACACTTTTGTTCTGGTTATATTTGAATGCAGTTACATCCTCTCAAAATTATGTTATCAAACTGGAAAGCCTAGGGTGGTTGTGGCAGAGGTAACAATGTGGCACCTTATAGTGTGCTTTATTGCACTTGTTCCAGACAATTCTGCCTGCATTGCAAGCTGAGCATACAGTAGAATATGTGATACATTATAAACTTAAAGAGATAAATACAGTAAGTTTATTGGTAAGAACTATAGTTATGTTCAGTTTGTTTTAAATAGAATAATGAAAAATCATGATTTAGAACATAATGTGGCCAGTCTCTGATACCTAAAGAAGAGAGTCATGTTGACTGATTTATTCTGTATTCTTTTGGGGGATATTTTTCTCTGCTAATTATGCTAATGTTGAGATGACTGGAATCAAGATGTGCCAAATTAGGAGTGCTTTTTTTATCTGACTACAGACTACAATTTGCTATTTTGTTTCCCTGGCTTACTAAGGTGTGCATTATGTGTGTGTGGTGGGGGGTGGTGAGGAATAGTGAACTCGAGTGGTTTCAAGCACTCCCTTTTCACCAGGAAAGGATACATCCATTAGAGCAATCATGCTGCGGCAGGATTCCAATTCAAACCCTTCTGACCTTAGGTCCTTATCTGAAACAAATGATCCCAGGTGATTGCAAATCATGTAAATCAGCAAGTGATTTTTGTCTCAGGTGTAACTGTAATCAAAGTAAAAGCCAAACCTACTTCCTTTGTCCAGTAAGAAATGAGTAGTAGAGAAATCTGAAAAGATTCTCAGTAATGTTATTTCCTGTGAATTAGACATTACTTTTCTTGACTTGTTATATACAATAAAAAACTCTGAAAAACTCTAACTTCTAGGTTACTAAGCAAGTCCAGGGTCTGTAGGTTAAAGTCTGCTAAAAAGGGAGTAAAGTTTGCCTCTTCACTAGAAATATTTTTGAAGGGCATTTGCAGACTGTGAGAATTGCATTATTGTCCCAGTAGTAATTCCAATGAATGCATCTGCTCATTTCTAGATTATCAGTACTAACAACGTGTAGAGATCATCTCTGTGAAAAGTTCAGCTTGTGAAAGTCTCAGATGCAGTTCCACGGAAATGTAACTATGAAATTTCTGCATTTGAAAACATCAATAATTTTTAGAAACTCGGGGTGGGAAGTTACGCTCTGTCACAGATTTCTTTGCCCAGGGTTAGTAAAAGACATGCTCAAACTCACGTTTTTTTACGACATTATTGAGAACATTCCTAAGTTCCTCAGCATTGATCTCCATGTCCTGATGGAAATGTGGTAAGAATATCATTGGTTACATTATTCTTTATGAAAAACAATTTTATGGATGAATATGCTGAAAGTCTTTGGTCACTTTTCAATAAGACATATACATGTTTCAAACCAAAGGGCATTCTACTTCATGTGAACATTAGTCCAACTCTCTCCTGAGGCTGCAGTACAAGGTAGACCTGAAGTTACCATACAGTGCCCATTAAACTACAACTGGTAGAATGACTGGTAATTTCCAGCCAGTGTATAAGTCAAATAGCAAAATCAGAAAATTCCTGTATCCCATATGCAGCCGCTTGATTTATGCAGTTCTTTTATCTGTTTTTTTTCTTTACCTTCCATTGTTAATTATATACCAGAGGGCACTGCATTTCTAACTTGTTTATACTTGCTGTGCAAAACAGCATCTTGTAGGAGAGACAGGAGAAAAAGGCTGAATTTAAGTAAGACTCCCTCAGACACAGTGAGAATAGCTTATACATACACATGAGGATAGCTGTATATTTAATGGGGTTTTTATTTGATTTTACATATCTCAAAGGGAATTTGATGGGAGGAAATTCAAAGGAAATTTTACTATTCAATGTTTTGAATCCATGGAATAGTTAATTTAGGAGCTGTTGTGGCCAGGCTGCTTTGAGGGCAGAGGCAGAGATCAATTGCATACTCACATCCCCTGCAATCTGTCGGAAAATATTCCTGAACTGTTTTTGCTCTTCACTCTCCTCATGAGCTTTTGTTGAAGAATGCTGAAAAGAGACAAGCAGAGATACATCCTGATCCCATGGAAAAGAGAAAGGGCCTGGATGATTCACTTACCCTTGTGTGAGGGATCATCTTAGTGAATCTGGATGTCTTTGGAGGAATGGGTTGTCCTCCCACTCCTTTCCCTATGTTTTTGTTCATTCTCTTCCTTAAAACTGCCAAGTATTTAACTTAATCCCATTGTTATTTTTTCTATTTGAAGGAGCCTAAATAATTACTTCCACTTCTAATTTTTTCTTCCAAACTATTGCAAAAGAGACGTTTGGAGCAGAAGAGGCTTAGCAGAAAATCAAAGAATGATTTTGGTTGAAAGGGACTTTAAAGATTATCTTGTTCAAGCCCCCCTGCCATGGGCAAGGACACAGTATCTGCCTCACAACTGCCCTGTAGGCAATTAATGACCATATAAGAACTCTTTATGATGTTGGGGGCCCCTGCTGAAGACAAATAGCATAAGAGACAGAGGAAAATGAGGAACATGAAGCTTTCTCAGACACATGGAAAGTGCAACCCTGAACTCTGAGGCTGATACTGAAGAGGGAAATGAAAGTTATAGGTAGAAAAATGAATTTCTTGGCTTATTTCATGTTTTCCTTCGTCTAAATGCAGAGGAAAGTTTAGATTGATGCTTACTTCACCACCTGCATGCTCTAGCAGTCATGCAGCAGAACAGCACCCTCCCTGAGCAGATGCTCCAGCAATGCCCGCAGATGCCACAAGCCTGGATGCAGGATCTGTCTGTTAGATGTGTTGTGTCTCACCCACCTGCAGGAAGAAACTCTGAATTTGCTACTCTGTTTTCCTCCTCTCTGATAGCGAGGGAGAAGAGGGGGGTGCTGGAGCTCCTGCATTTATTTGTCCTTTATCCTCTGGCCAGCAAGGACTAGGACAGAGGTGTGTATTTGTAACAGGAGAGGCTGTGGCCATTGCCAGGAGCTTCTGCAGCCCCTTGAGCACAGTTTGTGCATGTGCCCTCTGTAAAGTGGTGCTGCCTCAGGGGGCCGAGCGGGGCTGAGCTGATTGTGGGGAAGGAATCTCTCACAACTGGGATTCTTGTATGAGGGAGCAACCAGGAGATGTTTTGAAGCACCTAAATCTTCCTGCAGAGTTGTTAAATAACTGAAGGGACACTCTCTCTGTGCTCATGCTCATTAGATCTACATAAACTAGATGTGTGAGTCATGTTAGGATTTGATGAGAAGCTGTTTGGTATCTCAGGACACCTCTTTGCCCCATTCCTGTGCTCTCCTCAGCCACTCTTTTATGCTAGCCAGACCAAGCCCTGTTTCCCCCTCTGCCTCTTGCTGCAGAAACCTTTTTCTCATCTGTTTGGGTTTTTTCACCATCTTTGCCAGCATTTTCATCTGTTGTCAGCTCCTTATTGCTGTTTGCTCTGTCAGAAACGAAGATGATAGGCTAGAAGAAGAAGAAGAGAACAAAAGAGAAGTGGAAATTACAAGAGAAATAGTGGAAAGGAAAATATTTGGTTACAAGCATTCTGTGGAATGTATATGCATGTACATGCAGTACATGCAGAAAGTACATAGTCCTGCTCTTGAAAGTATAAGAGAAGCCATTTCTTGGAATGAAAGAAAAGAAAGGATTAAATAAAAAGGTGGAAAATTTTCTGCAGTTACTGCTTTCCTCATGCTAAAAAAGCTGTAAATTATTTTTGTAAAATAGTGCAATTTCTGGGTTCTAGCTTTCCTTGTCAGAAAGACAGTAATTGAAATTGTTTGGTTTGTTGTTGGTTTTGTTTGGTTTGGGCTTTCTTTTTTTGGTCTTGTTTTGGTGTTTTAGTTGGTTTTTGTTTGGTTGTAGTTTTTTTTTTTGTGGCGTTCTTCCCAGTTTTTAAGTAAAATAAGCCTTCCAGATTCTCATCACTTAAACTGATGAGCTTGCCCCTCAAGGATAGTTGCATTGAAAACAAAAGAAATGTGAATTGTATGCAGAAAAGGAGTTATTTGTGTAGGAGCTTGTTAGTTATGTGAATCATATATTCTTTCTCTGTACTGATTCTTGCGGCATTCCGCTGTATGCAGACGTGCAATTGTTCTGGTTTGGTGCATTTAAAACAAGGAAGACACTGCCACATGACGTGAATGTATTACTCTAGAGTATTAATTACAATCAGCCTGTCTTGGGATTAAAATATCTGATAACATTTTCAAGGTCCAAAATGTGTTGTGTAGAATCAAAAATAGAATCCAGGACTTTGGTGAGCAGAAACGTCAGCAAAGGGGGGTGGCTGCTGCACCAGCTGAGGGAAAGCAAGTGTGAAGGCACATGTCTGGAAAAGGGGTGCTTTTCACTTGCAGGGGGTGTCACGTTGCCTGTGGAGGGGCAGGGAGGAAGAAGAGTTTGAGCAACCCAGCTGATAAAGCTGAATAGTTTGTTACTCCTTCACCACCCCTTTAAATGAGAGGTTGATGCTAATGGTGCTATGATGCTGATGCTATTTCATTGGAATATAATGTAGGAAGACAAAATATTTGCTGCATGCAAATGGCCTCATATCCAGCACCCTTCATTATAATACCAAGGAAATCTGTCCCTGGTCATGCATTGCACATGCTCTTTGTCTTGCTGGCACTTAGCACATTGCACAGGTACCTACCTTGCCCTTTTTCTTCTGTGTAAAGAGACAAAATTAAAAGTGCTTGATCAGATTATGCAGAGCTGATGGCAAAGGTTTATTTTTTTATTTTTCCCTTTCTTATGTTTATTTTTCCAGTTCCTATACTCACAGATTTTCCCATTTCCTATATTTATAGAGCTTTCAAATCACCAAAAATGAGGGAACATGCACCCACCAAGAAATGGCATACTGAAGGAAACACATTGCAGAAACCATAGCAAAACTGCGTCTCATCTCATCTGGAGCTTTGTCTGCTTGAATAAAATTTCTTTAGCTATGAGTATTCCTTTTCTTTTTCCCAACCTGCTGGTACAGTGGAGATTGAACTTCTATGCCCATAGACCAATGATATCTGAAGTGACAATTTAATTCCCTCACATCTGGACAGTTATTTTTCACTATGACAGCAAACAAAAGGGTAACATTTCTAGCAAGGTTTGATGGAGCTCAGTTCTGTGCAGCAGCACTTCCTCTGATTTTTTTTTCAAGACTTACTGAATTGTTAGCTCTAGTATATTCCCACAAAGATGTGTAAAACTCCAGAGGGAAGAGTTCAAATTTGTCATAGGTGCTATTTTGAATCAGAGTGCTATTAGGTTCCCTTTTCAGAAAGCAAGTACTTCAAAATAAGGTAGTTTTTTTCTTTATTAAATTAGATGCCAATTTAACAAAGAAAGTATCTCAGGGAACAGAGCTAGGCCACCCATGGTAAATGGATAATCTCCACTGATGGAGGCATCCAGCTTCTTTATGCCAGGACCAGATTTCAAATCTGCAAAAGCATTTTGGTCTGAATCAAGTTTAGAAAGTAGCATATATAAAGCAAGTGTCACCAGAAGTATCTTAACAAGAAAAAAAAAGATGAGAATTTGTGATAAAGGTGCTGTCATGTAGCTGCAAATGATTTCCTGCTGTAGGTTTCCCTAGGTTTCATGTTCCTCTTCTCTCTACCCCTATACACAAAAGAGGACCAGGACAGTACTTACCAATGGATGTTCTGCCTCAATCATATTTTCAACCTCCCTAAGTAGAAAGCAGAAAACAAATAAATCAGGAAAGTGACTGCTCCCAAAGTTGCTTATTTCTTTAGGTTGTTTTTAAGCAGCCACTCAAACTTTCCAAGCAGCCAGTGGTGTGGGCTGTATTCCAGTCTTACAGCTGCAGGCTCTAGGAGTAGCTTTTTCCCAGTTTGAGCTGAACATCCCAAGTACCATTTCCAGGACAGCTGGCACCTGGCATACTCTTGTAAAGAGCCTTTATAACAGTGAACTGGAAGTAAAACAGAAGATCTTTGGCCTTAGTAAATGCATAATAGTTTGTTTGCAAAGGATATCCTGCAAGCAGTAAGCTTCTCCAAAGACAATTCAAAGCAGGTTCTTGTTAATCTATAAAGTAAGCTTGTGGAAATGATTTTGCAGCTTGGAGTTTCTAATGGGGTTAAGAAAATAAAAAACAAGGTATAGCAAACTGGTAACACAACTTTAACAGACTAGTGAGGTCATTCCACCTATATATAGATAAATAGCTCTGCAACTTACTCTGAAAGACTTCTTTTCTCTGAGAAGACCCTGAGGATGAATTCTCCCTCCTGGTGGGGGTCATATGTTGATGGGATGATGACGTACTCGCTGGGAGGTAACCGGAAGCGCTCAGAGATTTCTCGCATGTTTATGTAGGTCTTACTTCTAGCTTTGGAGGCATTGTAGAGGAAAAAATCCTTCTGCAAGTGGTGCTTAGTACCATGCATCTGCAGAACAAATGAGTCCATTTGCCTTCAAGGAGGTCTTGCCCATTGCCCAGGTGGGTTGCCATGCAGGCAGTGCATGGCTGGGACAGAAAACACAGGAAGCAGCAGCTTAGCAAGCAGGGGGCTGAGGAGTGGTGGTAGCTGGTGGCAGGTACAGAGTCTGTCACCTTTAAGTTGCCACTGACTGAGTCTAGTTGGTTTCCGAGGGCTGCTCCAGGGGCCACCTGCAGATTGTGTGGCTGACTTCTGCTGTGTAGGCACTTGTATCTGACACTTTTGCTAGATACTAGGTTGTGTGTAACCAAAGCTCAGCCACTTTCCTTGGAGGGTGTATGGCAAGGAATGGTGTGAGCAAACTCCTACATTCAGAGTGGTAAAGTGAAGATGCTTTCAGCGCAAATGTGTCCTTGTCTAGACAAAACATGAGTTCTGTATCTGCTAAACAAATGTGAAAATCAAACATTGCATTAGTTCAAATATGAAAACTAAGCCAAGAATTGTGAGCTAAACACACTTGCAGGCTGTTTTTTGCAGAAATAACCATCTGTAAGATAGCTGGCAAAGGCAACATTCAGACTGTCATCCTCATGCTTTCCGGGTAGCAGCCTTCAGGTGAGCTTGTTAGCAAAATTTGTGATGCCAATGATTCTGCTGCTGTGAGGCCCAGAGAAAATGTAATCTGTGTATTTTTAATAAGCTTTCTTCAATGTCTGAAAATACCATTAATTTTCTAAACAAATTCTAAGACTACAGATAAAACTCTGCGAGTGCACAATGTAGGCCAATTGTATTATTTTTAGGAGGAAATGCAAGGGGCTTAGGGTGGTTCTGCATGGAGTGCTGAGGCTAAGCCCTCACAGGCACTACTTCCTGGATCTCTGACCAACTGTGCAAGTGATGGCCAGGCCACCACAGAAGAGAAAAGAAGCACTGATGAAAAGGTCCAAATGAAAATGGGGTGTGAGTGAGAAGGAACTAAAAATTACTCACACTAGTAAACATTCAAAGCAAAAAGGTTAGCAGTTCTACTGCTGTTACATCCCTGAAAACAAACTTGACTGGACAGTCTCCTGCTGACTTACTGACAGGCACTACAGTAACACTAGCTGTGGGTATACACCAAGTTGTCAATCTGGCTCCGCTCTGCGCATACCTCTTTGGGCACCTTAGGGAGAAACAGAGAGGAGAAACAGTCAGAGCTGCAAGGGGAGACTACATGTTTATAGGTCATACAGAAGGACATTCAGCTAGAGTTCTGGGGACACAGTAATTAAAATGTCCTTAGTCAGATAAGCACTTTCCCTCTTCCTTTCTAAGTTTCTTGGCATCTACATGAAATCAGCTAAAATCTGAACCAAGTATGTTTGTGCAAGGGATTGAGTAAACTGACTTTTTCATCAAGTCAATAGCAGGGACAGAGGTTAATTGCTATGTATGAGTCTTGGAAGTCTGTTTCCTTTTTCACACTCTTCTGCCAATGAAATGCTTAGTTTCAGAAAGGACAAAAGGGAAGATTGAAGAATATACAGGAAAGAATATGTTAAAATCTGGCATTAGGTCACTATAAAAGCCTAAAAAAAACCCCCTGACATTACTATGGTACGAGCAGTGAGAAAGACTTGAATTTCCTTCCTCTCTTCAGATTTTCCGACTTCCTTGCAAAGCAAAAATTGCAATTGCTGTAATCAGCTTGAATGATTCAGTGACTCTCTTGGTAAATGCATACTGTTAAGATTTGCAACCACAGTGCAAAGAGCAAAATCTAGAGCTGTTACCTCATAGATGGCAAAGCCAATGGTGTACAGGTTGGCTCCCAGCTTGCGCTCTTTCCTCCTGTTTTTCTGCATCAGTGCAACAAGGAAGCTGCAGATAACCTCTTCATCCTCAGGATCATCATCTTCCTCCAGGAGCTTCAGGCGATACTGGGGATTGGTCCAAAATGTATCTGTGAAATCCCACCAGCAACCCAAAGAAAACATGTAAAGCTTCAGTCTTCTAATGATGCTCATGATCAAAGAGAACTTGTAAGTTCCCTACCTATGGCTCCTGAGGGAAAGGTTAAAACTGGGCTAAGACATACATGGGTTTTTTTACATATCATGGCTGTTACTTAATTCTAACAACTGCATAGCAAAAGAGGATATATGGAGAACTATCATCTGAAAAACTTCCGAAGTCCCTAAACCTATTGCTAATCCACAAAACTGAATTTCCCAAGTGAAATCTAACTGTTAGGGTGAAATTTATCCCATTTGCTTGGGGCACTTGAAGTATGTGAACAATGATTTATCTTTGCCAGGGCTGCCTTTTGGGCTTACAATGTTCTGTTACAGCACAGTGACAGAAAATTTCCAGCTACCAGTTGCATGCCTTGTCCACTGAGGAAGCAGGGCTTTTGCTATGGCTGAGCACTAACCAGGCTGAGGTACAACTTAGCCTTTGGGATCTAACCTAGTCCCCATCAAAGAGGCCGTATCTCTCAAGACCCTTTGCTCACCTGGAAAATTGCGGCAACCTCCAGCTGAGCAGCCTCTCACCCAGCGTCCTTCATTGACTGACACAGTCCAGGTCTGGAATTTATCCACTTCCAGAGTATCAGGTGTGAGGTTACAGATCTCAAGCTTTGTGAAGTGCCTCATGAAATCTTGAAACGATATCCTGGAGGAATTGAGGGGAAATTGAACCCAAATGCTTTTACATGGTTGGCAGTTGTCTGAAAGACCCTGGGCAAGTTGAGGATGGTGACCAACAGCATTGTCAGTACTGGGACAAGTTTGCAGTGAGAACGCCACATTTTCCAAATGCTTTTGGTCTGCTGGTTGATGAGTTACCACAGGTACAGCTCCAAACCCAGGGAAACTGAGCCGAGAGGATGGTAAGTAGGAAGGGTGATGGAGAGCTTGTGGAAGTGTAGCACTATTAGAAAGACTGTGCTGATGGCACTGAATAATCTGGCAGAAGAATGAGGATCACAGAGCAGAGCTTATTGGGAATATGAAGTGGAGCAGAGATCATTGCAATGGTTTTAGCATATTTGTAGTAGTGCAATGGCATTCATTTTTGCTATGATTGCATATATCATAGAGAAACTGATGCTCTCACCAGAACTCCCCATCCTCCACGACCTTGTGCTGCAGGCGGATTTTCTCCGCTTCATTAACAGAGTCCCACTCCTCTGACCTTCAAAGGAGTAAACAAGTTAGTTTAGGATTTACAATACAATTTTCATTAAAGTTTCTACACTTTAGCCTCTTAGAGTGAAAATTCAGGAGTCATCTTGCTACCTCCACATAATTTTCCTTTGTAAGCTTGCAACTAATTGTTCTCAATGCTATCCTCTTCTCCACATGCCCAAATAAAAGGAGCAATTGTCCTTCTTCTCTCTGCCTTCCTCTTCGAATTCCTCTTAGCAGCTCTCAAATATCTGCTGAACTGTGTTAATTTTACTTAGCTTGAAGAAAAAGGCGTTTGCAGATTATCATTGATGGCATACCTATTGAAATTCCTTTGAGGAAAACACTGACATCTTGCTTCTTTCAGCTCTTTTATACCTTAAAAGATTTTTCTACTGTCATATCTTGTTTTGAAAATCAGTAAAATCAGATTTAATCCATCATTAAATCTGGGCTCTGTCCTAATTTCCATTTATTAAAGCTTCTCTTAACATCTTATTAGGTATCCTTTTCTATTTTACAGCTTCAGCTAAGAACTCAATCAACATCAAACAAAGGCAATTCAGATACCTCGTCACTGAATATAAGGATTATGAAAAAGCTGCATAAAGGCAGATAAAGCTGCAACTTCTTTTTCAAATCATGTGAAGCTGTGTTTTACTCACTTGTCACTCCAGGCTCCATTCCATTCCACCTGTCCCCAGGGGTTTCTCAGCCTTACCAGACGTATTTTTTCACCTTTAAATACTGTCTAATTGAAAAAAGAATGCAACAAGAATAGGTTCAAAAGGAAATGTTCCGCCTGTCACTACACCCTTCAGTGATGGTGCTTTTTCGGGCCACACCCCAGCCTGATTCTGGGGTTTGGCTGCGGGAAGGCCAGGAGGTGGCTGCTTGTGGTCACGCTTGCCCAAGTAGGCGTTGCCCCAGAGAGCCAAAACTTGGATAGGTGTCTTTGTCCACAAGATTTTTAATTTATTTGAATACAATTTTGTTTCCTTAGTTCCTAATTTGTTTCGCTTTTCACGCCCCTCATAGCTTTGCTGCCGTGCGTGGGGCCGGGCCAGCGGCGGCTGCAGCTGCGCGCAGCTGGAGGGGAGCGGTGCACGTACCTCTTCCACGGCCGTCACGGAGTAGGCGTGCCCCTTGACCAGCCCGCAGGACATCCGTGTCTCGTACTGCATCGGCACTATGGTCTGTTGGACAGAGAGAAGCACCCGTGGGACTCGCACAAAGCTCAGCTGCCCGCTTGAGGCAGGGCTTTCACAGGGAAGGTGACACCCTTCAGCTAAGGGGATTTTTTTTGCCTTGTTGTCCTTTTTGTGTTTGTCAAAGCTGTCAAGCTAAGTGCCCATAGAATTCACATTGATGGTTAGAAAGGAACTAAAAATGGAAAAAGTTGGCAATATCAATTGGAAAGGACATTTTCTAGTATATTTTCCCCTTTTTTGTAGGCTATGGCTTTTTGCACTTGGAACATGGCAGGATACAGCATGTGTAATCAAATAATTAGCTTTTTGTATTAGAAGGACTGTTCAGCCTTTTCTAGGATGCTGTGTTCTGTTTTCATACTATAACCTCAAACCTGTTTCCTTTTTCTTCATTTCTTCTCATGTTGTTTGCCATTATTACTTGTCAGTATTAACTAAGTATTAATTAAGTATTAACTTCTGGTGACCCGGACAACTTCCTAAAGTCCGGATTTTGGAAGTGTTTCATCTGCCTCTTTCCATCAAGAGTCCTGATTTTTTCCTGGTGATGGTTCAGGAATATGCAATAACCAGCAGCACAACAGCTGCTGGGGCAACAAGTATAGAAAGAGTTTTGCAATCTTCTTTTAGAAGACAGTCACTGAGGAGGAAATTCTTCCCCTAGACATGGGTGGTTTGGGCAGCCATGCTTGCAAAACAAAATAGTCATTCTGGTCTTTCCCAAAGAATGACACCATTTCAGTCGTTTAGGAAGAACTAAATATGGATGTCAGCAGAGAAAAAAAATCAGCTATTTCAGCTACAAATGCAGAAGGAAGTTTGCACAACCAAAAGTTTTGAGTGATGTAATTGTGGAGGCTTTTTCTTTGTTCTTTTGTTTCGTTTTTCTCCCACCCTTCCCTATATCCCTGTAAAACAACAGATGTAATTTCATTGTCATGGAAATGCAGCTCCTTAAAGGGCAAGGTATGACAGCTGTCTGACACAGAGAAGTCAGCAACATATCCCTCTATAAATTTGAAAGCTTCTAAGTTGTTCAGTATGGGATTTTTTCTTAGAGGGTTTTAACATCCTTCTATTTTGCTAGATACTTACGTGGATATGCTGGAGTTACTTTGTATTTCATCACATATAAAACTCCACATGTTTTTCCTTTTCCTTGTTAGGAATTTTTAGTGAGGACTTTGTTGACAATAAAAAAAAAAAAAAAAAAAAAAAAAATGTCCCTGGAGCATACTCTCCTCTATTAATGGGTAGAGCACTCTGTCTCAAAATAAGTTCACTAAGAGCTTTTTGCTGGAGCGAGAACTGTGCAGAGCTTGCTTTTTCTTTCTTTGACATTCCATGCACACTCAAGGATCTTGTTCTATTCTAGCATTTTAGTTTCTTCCTTCTCCCCACTCTATTCAAGCAAGAGACTTGATAAAATCCACTAATAAATGTCTTGTTCTGAAAATTATAAGCCTGTGTCACAAGCCAATAGCCCTTTAATGCCTCAGTATCAGTGAAGCCCTCTAGTATCAGTCACTGTGTTGGAAAGCACTGAAGTATTTTAACACACACACACACACACATATCAAACAGCATCCATAAGAACATTTCATTAGTGTTATTCTGTGAAACCAAATAAGGATTTAAAAGCATAGGTGATATTTTTCTCTGTTTGTAGATAAAAGCATTCTGAAGTCAACTGCTTAGGAGACGTACCCAGGCTGGCCTCTCCTCCATGCCCTGGTAGTCTACAGAGGACTGAGTCATCTGGGCGTTTTCTTGATTCTTCACCATGCGAGCAATCAGTTCCCCAATGTTGCTCCGAGGAGCTGATCCATACGAAAACCCTAGGTCATCCTGGCACAGAGAATGGAAGAAAAGTGTCATGAAGATGAGTGATAAAAGATAGCCCTGATTACTTTTCTTTTCCCTCATTATGCCCATACTTATCTACAGTGGTCGATGGCAGTGTTTGTTCTCCCACCTTTACTGAAGTGTGGTACTCCATAAAGAATTAATTTTTAAACTTTCAAGTTTACTATAATAAGTGATGACAGTCTGAAGCCATGAGGACAATAAAGTATTAATTTGCACACTTAGCATCTTTGACATGAAGATTTAACAGAGTTGCAGCATCCTCATACTAACCTATTTCACTGGGTTAGGCGCTTGAGGGGAAAGGGGTACTGGTTTTGCTGATTGCACCTGTTCTTTCCATGTCCATGTTCTACTTCTGTTTATTTCCCTTTTGGCACTCACTGTTTGCTAGTCTCTAGGGAGGATTACTCCATCTCCTAGAAATGGATGTTTTCTATGTGGCCTAAACCAAGCAGTTCCAAAGGTGATATATGTTTGGTAACAAATGAAGAGGTCCCTCTCCTCTGTCATTTCTAGTCTGCTAAGTTCGTATGGACTCACATCAATGGAACTGGCCATGAGCGATCCTCTGTCAATAGCATGTTTCATGATTTTATAGATATCTTTAGGTGCATCCTTTATCTCATAGAACTCTGTGACTCCTCCAGTGAAGTCCTCCATGGCTTCAGTGGTGTTGCCTCCCTTCAAAGCTTCATATGACCCATGGAGTCTTGAAAAGAGAAAAGGAAAAGGTTCTTTTACGCAGGTATCGATACCTATCGATATATTTATATCCATCTTTTGTGTGTATTAATACAGCTATGTAAACACATATACTAAAATCCCACAACCCATCTGTCTGATAACTCACAAGTTAAAAGTCCTAAAACATGCCACCTTCACACAAAGAAAAAAAAAATAAAGATAAGCTGAAAATTAAATGTAGATTTCTGAATTAATAGCAAAACTTCCTAGAAAACGCGCTTTAACCCATCCTCAACTCCAAGGCATGGGAAAAGGCATTGGCCTATTGAGGTATGTTCTCTGTGTGCTTCCAGATGCTGTATGCAGTGGTGTAAGCACCGCCTCAGGCAGAGCCTTGCTGGGGAGCAGGGCACAGCCCCGCAGTTCGCTTTACTTTGCATAGGCCTTCTCCAGGAGGGCGCTCCAGAACTCGTTGCGCTGGGAGGACTTGGTAAAGACCAGCTGGTTGTTGTAGGTGGGTAAGCAGTCATCGATGACGACATCCACCCAGTTTCCATAGCGCCAGAACTGCTCAAAGGCAAACAGAAAACAACAACCGGATTGACTTGGTGCAGGGAGAGGAAGCCTGGCTGAAAAGTCAGGCTGAGAGAGGAGAAATGTGAAAATATACTACTCCATAATGTGGCAAAAACTGATGGCTACTGTGAGGGAGGCAGCAGTACTGAATTCCCCTGGGCAAGAAGTTCCTTAAGAGAACCAAAGGAAATGTGGAAAGCTGTCAATCTTTTCTGAATAAGTTCTTTGAGAACTTGTTTTGACAGACCAGCTCTTTGTGGACCTAAAAGCACCTGCTCTTGCCCAGTGCCCACATGTCTGTGCTGGCTGAAGTGCTGCGTCTGAGCAGTGAGGCAGGACCAGGCACCTGTTGGTGCTCTTTACACCCAGCACACTGCAATCTGCAAATGCTTCTTTGCTGGGTTAATGCTCCCTAATTGCTTTTATTGGCTGGCCCTTCTGTGACTGCCCTGATGGAAGAGTTTGGGGTGAGGCAATTCAATCCCTTTTCCTCCCTGGTGTCACTCATGCTTCCAAAGGGTAGGGAAAGAGGGAAACGCATGCCAAGAGCTGAGTCTTGGGTAAATGCTCGCCACTAGGCGGAGCGACTCACCTGGAAGTGAAAGATGCCAGCATAGTTTTGTATAAAGGACTGGTCGTGAGGTATGACTCTACAGAGTAGTTTTTTATTCAGTGTCAGGCAAGCAATGGCAGCCAGAAACCAGCAGTTACCTGTAAATGAGCAGATGCAGCAGACAAAATGAAGGGAGTGAGCAGCTAGAATCAAAGGAAAAACCTTAGATACTGCAAAGTGTCATGTTAATTCTCAGTAGAGCATGATTCTCCATGTGTTCTGCAGTACTATAGCACTTTATCTATTTGTGCTCTAGGGGCATTGTTCATGGCCAGGTGCACACAGGCTAAACGGATGACATTCCCCGTACTTTAGAAAAAGCCTAAAATCTGATGAGCTCTGTTACTTGCATTAAGAATTCCCTTTTTTATGTGAATCTTTCACTAAAAGTTCTTGCCTGGATTGCTACTAAGCAGATGTCAACAATTTGCTACAGAGTAAAGGAATCACTGAGACAGAGGATTTCAGATATCACCTTGGAAAAAAAAGAAAACTAAGTGAGAGCTAAGCCATGGTGCAGGCTTTAAAAAGCACAGAGTTGAAGTAAGAATTTCGTACCTAATTCTCCTTGGCAGATATCTGTTCTATTGGCTCCACCAATAATAAACCGTGGATTCTCACAGATTTCCTGCAAAACGGAAACAAATGGATGAGCAAGAAAAGCATTCATGATGATGCCTGTTTAGCACAAAAGTAAAGTAAATTTTAGAACATTTTCCTATAGGATAGGTTGTGGTATCAAAACCTCTCTCACAGTTTTCATCTGCAGAGTTTCGCTATGAAAATGTTTTGGAATCTTGATGTTCCAGACTTCAGTCAGAGTTTTCCCCATGCTTCTACAGGGTCTAATATTGAGCCTGGAGTGCTCTCTCTGTACTATAATTTGAAAACACACTGAAAGGAAAGAAACTGGGGAAATTTTTTTTTTTTCTCCACAGTAATTAAAAACCAAAACATTGGAGGAGACAGGAGAGCAAGTAGATAAAAAAAAAAAAAAACAAACAACCATCAGGGAACAAGACTAAATTATTTAAAATTTATCTTATGTCCAATTTGCAGTAACAGGCATGTTGGGGCATTAAAAGGGTTGAAGAATGCATTTCATTGGGAATCAACATTAGCATTACTCCTTCTTAAAATTAAAGGATCAGATGTTTAATTACCAGAAATAATCAGTTGCTGGTTGGGAGATTTTATTCTTTTTCTCATGTTGTAGTATTGACAATGCTGCATTCAAAAATGTGTACAGACATAATCTGTCTCTGAGGACAGGAATATCTCCTTTCATACTGCCCATTGCACAATGTATTGGGTTTGTCTGTATTTATACTAGAACAGAAGGGTTACAAGATGCTGTACAGGCATAAAGAATTAAGATGTTTCTTCAGGGAGGGAAGGCAAAATGCAACAAGTGAGGTGGGACAATTGCAGGCTTACATAGAAATCTATAATGGACAAAGATTGTAGTGTAGAGGAAATACCAAGAAAATAGTGGCCATAACCTGTCCCACATAGTGAAAAATGTCCCTGCTTTATCCCATCTGTCATACTCAAATACTTGGTATGGAGAAGAATAAGAAGAAACAACTTCTGGACACATCTCTTATGCGGGTAAGGAAAGAAAGATATTGCAACCTGAGGAGCACTCTCCTGAGCTGCTGCAAATTGGGAAGAAGACAAAGTATAGTCCAAGAGCCCAATATGTTGAAAGATGTTGGGACTAGAGTGGGAAGGAGACAGAACAAAAAACTGACAATTGCTTATGTGGCAGCACACAAGGGCAGCTGATGCTATCTCTATAGTCTAAAGCTTTTTATTAATATTGTCAGGGTGGCCCTGGACTTTCCCAGACTCATGTTTCAGGTCTTGTAGTTTTGCTTGGCTAAAACCCACTTTTTTTTCTCCTTCACAGTTATCAGAAGAGTTGCTTTGATGTGAGTGTTTGGATTAGTCATATAGCCAGACAGAGAGACCAACTTCTGCCACCCTGCCACCAAGCCCTGCAGACACTTTACTTTCCTCGAGGGAAGGAATGGTAGCATTGGCCTGTTATTTTGGGCCTTGGTCAGCTGTCAAAGCAGATGTTTGATATGCCTTCATGCTTTTCTCCACTCACTTGTCTTTTTGAAAATATTCTTCCTCACATTGCTGTGGTGCTCTGCTGAAAAATAGTCTGAGTTTTTGCTTTGTAATTTTTCCAACTCTATTATTGTATTTTGGCTCAGTCTTGCTCTTATTGTAACTAGCTTTTAAATCCAGCCTGCTGTATTTTAGTTGATAGTAGTCAGGTGCCACCTAGTTGTTTCCAAATATTAAATGTACACCAATGTGTTACTCAGAGCTGTTTACTGCATCTTGGGGTCATTTGTTTTGTAGGATGCTTGGTAAAGGGATGCAAAGGAGAGAATTGCAATTGTCATATGGTCTGGTTTAGATATGACAGAAATGCTTTTCTTGTATTTCTTTATGGAGGCCAGGTGTGTTTTGCACACTGTGGATATGGTTTTAATTTGTATTTTCTTAGTTCATCTCCAGCTGCACTAGTTTGCTGAGTACAGCTGAAGTTGCAGAGAACGGTATCAAGGTCTTCCAAGGCTGAAGTACTCAGTCAGCAGAGTGAGATGACCTGTTGTCCAAGATGCAGTGGCAGGTCTGTCCTTCCTGTCATCCTGGCTGAGCAAGGGATTGCTGTTCATCTCCTAGGTCAAGTGATCACAGAAAATTCCAAGAGGCTGCACTTCCTTGAGGCAGTGTTTCATCTTTTAGATGAAAAGAGCCTCCTCTGATCTGAGTGCCTCGAGACTGCCTTGGTACTATCCAAAGGAGCTTTGTGTTGCACTGGGTTGATCCAGCTCAGACTGTAATTTCATTACAAAGAGTCAGTTACAGCAAGGAAAACCAAGAATTCCAGGAAAAATCTAGTAGTGGTGCATATTGCATTCTGGGAAGAGATTATTTACGAGTCAGTTGGAAGGGAGCACTGGAAAATGCAAAGGCAGCATGCAACTAAAAATGGCATTTGACCTTTGTTATATTTTCATTAACTTTTCTTGTGTATCAGGAAGAAATTTGCCAGTCAGCTTATACTGCTGCAGCAAAAGGCATTCATTCCTTTAGAAACTGCCATTAATAAACTATGGCATTCTAAGTAAATTCCCTAAACTGATTCTGTCAAACAGAGGCAGGATCTTTTTCAGCCTAAGACAATTTGTAGCCTCACTGTCTCTTGGTCTCTAGACCATGCTTTTAAATGGCTGTGCTGCACACTTCAAGGCACAGCTCAATGTCAGACACCAAGCTGGTTTTAGAGCTTCTGAGTTGGATTATCTTAATCTCAAAATTCTATCTTGGTGGCACTAACTTCGATTTTTGCTTTGTGGCACAACCTGTACAGGCACACATTTTGTGATTAGTAAATTCAAACAGCTTCACATGTGTGCAGTAGATGATCTGACTGATTAATTTGAATTTCAAGCAAAATAATTTCAAGCAAAATACAGTAGTTTGTTGACATGGTTTTGTTTGTATTCATTATGAAAAGAAAGCTCCTCCTGGTGATTTTCTGGCTATGGAGAGGATCACCATGGGGAAGTCATTGAATGTGGTGGTTATGTTGTGACTTGGCTGTGAGCGAGGAGAATGACAATGTTGCATTTGAAAGCACAATGTCACACTAGAGTCTTCCTATCCCAGCCTTCACTGGTGTAATTAGATCCAAACAGGACTGCAGCAGGACCTCTCAATATTCCGTGTTATGTTATAACACGGACTTTTTCTCAGCTCTCAAAGATCAGTGGCCTTATCCTTGCTCTCAGCTGTGAGAAGTTCCCAACGGCAGCATAGCTGTGAGAAGCACAGCCAGTCAATGAGCTGGATATAACCTATTGTAGGTGTAAGCAGCTGTTTGGGCTTCTCTTACTTGCTGTGGGTGAGTGAATAATTTAATATTTTGCATTAACTGAGGGGGATTTAATTTCCCTTCTATGTATCTAAACCATGGTCTTGCATACTCTGAACAGAAACACTGGAGGGATGGATCCTACAGACTTTACTCAGGGGAACATTCATTTGCTTTTGTCTGAATCGAGTATGAGGAGTTCTTCTCTGTGCATTCATGTCGTGGCAGGGCAGTCACTAGCCGGGTAGAATTACAAATACCTTTTTGCTGTCCCCATGCCAGGGCTACCAGCTGCCCTGCCCAGCACCTGTCCTTCTGTGGGTAAGGGACAAGGCCAGTCCTCATGCATTCGCTGCCCTCGCAGCAGCAGAGGACACGCATTTTGGGAGGTGGCAGGGGAGGACCTGACCTCTGGGTAGAGGGGCTTTGATACAAATTGGTGAGGTGACATGACTAAGGTAACTCAGGAAGCTAGAGAGTCAGGAATAGGTTGGGTATTTCCCAGCCCTCTGTGTTAAGTGGGATCACACATTGATCACTTGTTTATTTGCAGTGTCTGGAGATATGTGGCACATAAAATGCCACAGGGAAAGGATCTAGACTGGTCACATTAGGATATTCTCTCAGGAATTCTGAAGTGTGAGATTTTTTTTTTTTTAAACTACATTATCAAGTTTTATTCAACTATTAACCTAGATTTCAAAGTGATTAAAATTACCACTTTATACGAGTAAATTTTATAAGCTAAAGTATTTTGTTTCTACAGACTATTACAAAACACGGCCTGTACAATTGAGTATATGTGGTGCTCAAATGATTGCTTTAACCTCTTAGCAAAATACTCTTTAGCCAGTATTACTCCTTCATATTAATTTGACTTCATAAAGTTTTGGCTTGTGTCAAGAAAACCCAGATAGCTTTGGCTTTGAAGTTTACATTATATTTTAAGTCTTACATGGTCCCCAGCCTGTGACTACTGGCTACTACATGAATAGTAAGTCCAAACTTAGATATTCATGAGGGACTTAAAGAAATGTCTTTGAAATTAAGACCCTGATCTGAACCTTTCCAATAAAAAAGGCTTGATCTGTGCCTGCACACTTATATAAGACAAGTCTGAGGTTACATTGTGCATTTATTTTGTTTTGATGCTTTCTAATATGACACTTGAGGTCTGTCTGCTGCAGGATACTGGCACTTATCCACTGCTGTACTCATCCACTCATCCATGTACTGCTGTACTTCCCTCTGCAGAAAGAGGGGAAACCCCATCCCTTTACATGATTGACTTGGGGTTGCATTTAAGCCATTCACATACTTTTCTAGAGGCTAATGCAGCTATGGTGATGATGAAGGAATGACAGGGCACAAGTGCACAGGGCACAGCAGATGGGGGACTCATTTTGATCACTCTACATTGCTCAAGTTGTTGCTGTGACAGAAGCACGTGGTCTTCCTCCACGTCTGTAAGAGCTGCCCACAGAAGCTCGTGGTTTTTTGCTGTTTGGTTATACTCCTGTGGTCAGTTTTATCTATCACCACTGACTTTGCCCCTGAAGCACAGATTTGAGGGGTAGTATGGCAAATATAAAAAGAGGTGGCCAAAAGCTGCCAAAGAGAAGGAGCTGTGGAGGCTCCTCAGACCAACACTCTCACTGTCACACAGGGGATGGCAGGGGCCAAGGCACTGTCCCAGAGGCTGCCTTGCTGCAGGGGAGCAGCTGCCCAGTAGAGATGACAGGGAAAAAGTGTAACTCCTCCTGAAGTAGGAGGGATAATCAGCTGGGAACTGAGGTGATAGTCCTCTGCCAGTGAGAGAGACAGGGGAAAAAAAGAGGAAAAAGATGAGAAAGGGCTGGCTGGGGACTACCCACAAAATAGGAAAATGAATAGGAATAGTAGCCAAGAGTGGGTCTTCATAGTGATTAGAATACCCATTCAGGTTAAGTTGGATAAACAATGCAGGGAACTAAGAGCAGGTTTCAGACCATAACCTGTCCTTTTATTTTCACGCATGAGAAAAAGGCAGAATACCAAAATAAAAGTTTAAGTGAAACAAGGTAGTGTTAAAAAAATTAATCCTCAGAAAACTCAGTAATTTTTTTCCAGAAGGAAGAGAGATTTTCTTTGGTACTTTCAGACAAGAAAATCCCAGGTGAACTATGCAAGAAGAAAATTCAAATCCCTGTATATCTTTCTAAATATTTAATCCCATCTCTTTTATTGTTGTTGTTTCATTCTGTTTTATTATGTTTTAGTCATTATATACACATTACCTAAGCTTTCACAGCCCTAGCTAATTGTCTCCCAGGAAAGCTCTAAGGAAATATATTTCTAGTTTATTCCACCTGCCTCTCCAACACACAATTTCTGCAGAATAGTAAGCTCAGGGTCTACACTTCAATTTACAGAAAAAGACAATCAGCAAACATGTTACTTACACGTGGTCTTTTCCATTCGAACTTGACGGGGCTTTTCTGGCTGTAGAAAAGGGACGACTCATTTGGTGGGAAATCAGGATCTTCATAGAGAATGTTTTTCTCCAGGCACTTCTTATGAAGCTCTTCATAGGTCTTCTCCTTTACATGGATAATGGGCTGATTGCGACTTATAATGGCAGAATAAATTCCCCCTGTGCCCCCTCCTGCCCCCTCCGTAGTGCCAGCAGCGGTGCTGGGGACTGACCCAGCAGCCGTTTGCTGAGCCACCACTGCATTGATGGCGGTCGGCATGGGAATCAGGCTGACAGCAAATGCTGAAAGACAGCAGGATCTTGCAAACCAGAAGGAAATTTCAGAAAAGAGGAAGTTGCCGTGCAAACCGTTTTTTCTGTCTGTTGAAAGCCTTCTAGTCAAACTTGCAAGCCAGAAAACTCCATGTGGTTTTGCATCCTCTTAAGGGATAGTATTTTGTCATCAGAAATTGAAATTTGTTGCTTGATGTGGGACAAGATGATCCCAGGAGTTGGCTCGCTCCTGTATCTGAGTTGTATCTACAGCATGTGTGTGTGCTGTCCTGTGCGTGTAAGCGTCCAGAAGGGACAAGCTTTAACTGTGAAATCTAAAAATAACTGCAGGCAAAGAGAGTGGGAAAAATGAGAGGGGGGCATTAGTGAGTGTCAGTCTTCTGCGCAGCTTGTGCCGAGGCCAGGCATGCTCCTGGGACGGGCTCTGTGTGTGGGCTGACTCCTGGTGCAAGCAGTTCATCTTTTCCTTAAGTAGAGGGAACTGTGAAACTGGAAGCTAAACCTGCTGGCTTGGGAACATTATGTACAAAGTACTGCCAGGAAATGGTCCTGACATTACTGAAAGAACTGTTGTACTTGACTTGTTTTGACCCTTTGTGGCAGAAAAGATACAGACAATTTTTTACTACTAGAGAAGATGATCAGAAGACACTAATGGTGAAAAAGTGCTACTGAGGTCAGGTCACCTGCCAGCTAGGTTTGGCTTCTCTGGAGAGCAGCTTGGCAACACAAAGATTCACCTTGTAATAGCTATCTGCCATGAAAAAAGCAACTTTTTGTGTAGGGGTTGAAAAGTTGAAAAGAGCCTAGTGTGGAAGCTGGGCTATTCTCTGTGTGATAGGATATGCCAAAGTTAAAGGAAACATCTGACTCTGCACATGTATTTTTCCACACAACACTTGGATAAGGGACAAATTCACAGCCTCTGTGAGCAAAAATATAAACACATATTGCTTTTCTCTGTAACTCAGTTCTTTAAAAGGTGACAATATTTATACGTCAAGAAAAGCACCATAATACCTTGAGTTTTCTTTATTGGGAAATCTTCAATCACAGATTGACATCAGTTTTATTTTTGCCTAATGATGTTGCTATCGCGCTGGCGCAGTAGTGTGGAGGAAGGGTTTAGAAAGGCCTTGGGAATGGGAAACCGAGGAAAAGATACATTTATGTATGGCCCATTGTTTTGGGAAAGCTTCACTTCAGCGTTTTTCTGTAATCCCCTTCTCCCCACCCCTGAGCAGTTCCCATTGGACCTGACCCCTGGGATCGTTCTGATGAGCCCAGGCTGGACACTGTCTCTACTGTTGAGACCTTATCTCTTAATTTTGCTGTATAAAACTGTATCTGGGCAGTAGCCCAGGGTCTTTTGTCCCTGCAACCGTTCAGGCAATACAGTCTCTCTGGACTGCACACAACTGACCTCTCTTCGTCTCTTTATCTCAAATCCTTGCAGCGACAGAGGCGCACCGCCGCTCGGACCGTGCCAACCCAGCCGCTGCCTGGTAAGCCCAGTGCAGCAGGACAGCGGCAAACCCCGGTCCCCTGAGGGGACAGCTACCCAGAGGGGTCCCGGGGGGCCGGGGAGGGACGGGGGACACCCACAAGTGACCCCCGAAAGCCACATAATGATACTCATTTCTGTCTCACATATACATTGCTGACCTTCTGGCCCTAGGGCTATGGCATTTTCTAAAGCACTGTTTGTTTTTTTTTTTCTCAGCCATTTGCTCACTTTACACATTTAAAATCAACAGTACAGTGGGCAAACTCTACAGCTCATTATAGAAAACATCCCTGGAGAAACATTTAAAGAAGATAATATATAGTTGGCAAGCTTGACTAACCTCTAGGAATATTAATCATCAGTCTTTTAGGCCATGTAGATGGCCTAAATCCTTTTCTTTTTATCATGAATGCAAGACTTCTTGCACCAACAAGGCAATTGAAAAAGACAGATTCAATCATTCGTGAAAATAGGAATGCAATTGCTTTAGGGTGGGTTCTTCAGATGCAGAATTGATTACTTCCTCCTTACATTTAGATGCTAGGATTTTAGGTCTCACACTTGACACAACATCGCAGGACAGCTTGGCAGATCCATGTGTCACTCTGCAGGATACACAAACAGTGAGACACTGCACAGCTCAGCTCAGCCAAGTGCTCATTTTACAGTCTGTGCATATGTTTTCTTTCCTATTCTCCCTTCCTGCATCTCATATACAGAGCTCTCTTTCTGGAAGAATTGTAGGGGTATGACATTTGAGAAACTCTGTGGGCTGCTGGGGAGAATCATGTGAATTATTAGCAGTGGGTTTGTTTTTTTTTTTTTTTTTAATTGGGATGGTCAGCAAGTGCCAGCATATGACCTGCTACTACTGCTAGAGCTAACAGATCAGCCAGTGCCTGCATATGGAATGGCAGGTGGACATGCACTTCTCACTTCTACACCAATGTTGCTCTTTAGGCATGTTCAGAAGTTACACCTGTTTAAAATACAATTTCTACTTTCCTTATTTCTTATTGGAGAGACAGGTTTGTTATGTAGAGTTCTGGTCTTTTTTACAGGAGCTGCTAGTAAAAGACAAATGGTGTCTTTAAATAAATACAATTTTCTATAGAGGAGAATAGATGTGTTGTCTAATACAAACAGCAAAACAAATTCTCAGGAATTAAATTCTGTATGTGATGGAATTTACTGCAAGCAGAAGTACTCAAATAGCTGACCCGTTCAACAGTAACAATGAACTAATTTAGTGAATTAATCTAAAATGTTAATATTGCTCTTTAGATCGTATGGAGTTTTCTCTCCAGTTGTTTTCACTAATTGAAAAAAATTATTTCTTTTGTTAAGATATACCAAAAATTTATTTCTTCATTTATTGCATAAATATGTGAAAAAATATGTGAGTTACTAAAAACAACAATGTAAATCATATTATTTGAAATTTATCAGATCTAAAGACCCAGCTGCTAAGATTTTCAGCAACTAATTGCTACTGAAATCTATGGATGTTAGGAACTTCATACCACTGAAAATCTGACCCATGAGTACATACTATGGTGCAGATATCTTACTGAGGGCCAGAGAATAAAGGCAAGTAATTCACATTAACCAGCTACCCTTGGAAGAATATTCGCTAGTTATTCTTAACAGGTCTTAACAGGTCAATAAGAAAGAGGGTCTGAAGGAAAAAGGCATGAAACTTGCTTCATTATTACTTTATTTCACTTTCCAATTTGAGAAATAGCAATTAAAATATTTTATAAAGTCACCCAAGACAATTACTGCAACTTATCAGAAGTACTGCTATGCTTAAAGGATAGAAAGAAATCATCAATCAAAGCTTAGAAGTTGATAGAAAAAGAGGGTCTGTCTCTCTTTTCACCGATGCAAAAGATCTGTTTGCTGTTGTTCTACCTGGATTAACACATTTGCATTAAGCACAACAGTATTTATGCTGCCCATTCCTGGAGTGGAGGCTCACACTGCCTCCTGGAAGGTGCTGACAAATAGCTCTGCAGAATAAAAAAGAAGGAAGCTAAGGGTCTGGTGGGGAGCAAACTACACTTGAGTAGTCAAGAGCACTCACGGTTTGCTCTCATGCTTGCCATTCCCAGAAATCTGCCCTGCAGAGGACAAACAGCAGCAGGTGGGAATGACAGAGGGATTAGTAATGTTATGCTACCTTTAGCTGGCAAAAATGGTGACCATCCTTCTCTGTTTCCTACGAGTTATTTTACTGATGTTTTTAGAAAATACTTCCTTATCTTACTAAAAGGAATGAAATTAACTAGAAATCCAGAAAAACCAGACACCCAACTGATGGCATGCTCAGGTTTGACTCAAAACAGAACTGGTTTCTAAATAACATAGCTGACAAGTTTAGCAAAGAGAAAGGGTAAGCAAACCCTGTAGAGCAATGGCAGCCTGTGAAAAGAGATGCCTAAGATGGAAAAAGGAGGGAATAGGCAGGATGTAATGGATGTGGGACTTAGGAGATCTCTGTTTTGCAAGCAAAGCAAGCATCAAAACATACCAGTTCTGTTTGCAGAGACAGTGGAAAAAGAAGGCAAGGGAACATTAATTAAATTCTGCTTCATAAATGCCTAGTTCAAATCTCAGCCAGATACTAAAAAGTGACATGACAAAAACTTTTCTAAAGGAAGCCAAAACTTGGCAGGACTTGGAAGATGTGGGAAACCACAGCTCCTTCATTGGGCTGACTTTAATCAATGACGTTCAATCATCAATGCCAATTCTTTCCTAACAGAAAACTTTTAAGTAGTACTTGCAGATGGAGGGGAGCAGTAACATGGCAAATGTTTTTGCGTGAGTATAGCTGCTATCCTATGCCAGTGGAAGACCTGTGCCTTTTTGAAATCCAAGTTTCAAAGCTGGCTGTTAAGGAGCTTTCTGCACTGCCACATTACTGTCTTCTACTATTGCACAACTGACTGGCACAAGCTACCCAACCCTCACCTCCTGAGGTGTTTGGCCAGCCTGCTGTTTACTTTCCTATGCAGACCAGATAATTTTGCATTGCCATAAGGACTGGGAAGCAGAAGTGTCTGTGATCACTCTGGGTGGCTCCTTCTGTGTTTGTTTTCAGAAGGCAGCTGGCAGGCAGAACTCTGGTGATAATCTCTGTGTCTATCATATCTGCTGGTGCTGCTTGTTGAACTGGCCCAGATCTCCTCAAGTGCTCCAGCCTCTGAATAGTGTGATTTTAAAAATACTTACATTAAGACCTGTGCTAACAAGCCACAATCTTACCCAATCAACTAATAATTTTTTATTGCAAGTGAAGGCAAAACTGAAGTTTAATGCCTAACTGAAGCTAGCCTAATGCAAAGAGTATTTAGCTTATTTTCTCCAAAGTTACAATCCTAGTGCTATTACTTTTGCTGAACAGAAAATTTATCCAAGTCCAAGTTAGTGCTTTAAAAGAAAAATTTTAAGAAATGTTAGTTTGGGTGTGTTGGTGGAAAATACGTTTGTTGATTTAATTTGATTCAAGTGAACATCTGAAGTCCTCCCAGTTTATTTCTCCTCAGCCTCCCAATGGACAGTTTCTCTGAAGAAGCTGAGTCTTCTTTCAGCTGATACAGATCTCCCAGTCAGCTTCAACACTCAGGGCTAGGTTTTCCAGTGTCAGTGCAGAGGTCTTCGTGTCATATGTGAAAACCACTTCTTTTTTTTTACCATCTGAACAGGGCAAGAGAGTTTTCTATTTAATTTAAGAATTCTTCTGAAACATGGCTACAAGTGACTCTCTACAGTTTTTAGTTCTGACTGTCCCTACCACTGATGGAAAGGATTGATTAAAAACCAAACAGAAGTCAAATCTTCCCAGCACACATATAAAAATGCAGTGGAATAAGAAAGTAACTATTTCTTTTTTTCTTATCTTTCAAATGATGATACATCAAACTATGGAACTACTCAAGATTTTTTCTGAAAAAAATCACCCTGGTTTCTGCAGAGGTGTTCCTCCAAGCACCCTTGACAGGTGGAGGCCAAAAGTCCATTTCCCTATGACTCTCAAAGTGAAGGGACATGCTTGGAAAGCAAACAGAAATTGTAAGCCCTTTCTGGAGATGCTACCGCCTATCCCTACGGGATACCTCACAACTTCTAGAGATCTCTATATAGTCAGGAACTCCACAGCTTTTGGATGAGCATGGAAACAGAAGAGTAATTTGGGTTTTCCTGCAAGTTTCCTGTTCTAGACTAGGCAGGTTGACAGACCTGAGCAAATTTGCCTTCATTTGAAGTGCCATCTCTGCTCATGTTCTGTGCAGGACAATGTTGTCTGAACATATTCATTCCAAACCACATTTACTGACGTATTTATCATCTTTTAAAGTCAGTGTTCTTCAGTTCATGTAGTATTAGCGGGAAATAGCTGCTGCTCCCTTTCACTAAATTCTGTCCTTGATATAAAAAAGGTAGCAATGAAAACTAAACAAAGAGGCTTCCTATGCTGTAACACTTCCTTTGCAGATCTGTCAGTTGGACACCTCTAGTGAATGGCAGCAGAGCAACACGATTTGAAAAAATTGTAATAAAATGGAAGTAAATTCCATACCCTTGGCACTGGCTGTCACAAAAGTGGGTTGCTTTCCAAATCCCAGAATTATCACCCGTTCAACTACACATGTAGTGTGGTATTGTCCACTTTCATCTATGCAGCTGAGAAAAGAAAATTATTTCATATACATAAATTTCTTCCCATCAGTATAAGTTCAGTATCACACAAAATATTACTTCACTGCATATCAGATTTCACAGTCAGAAGAAAAACAGTTTGAGAAGCTGTTTTATGGCAAAAAGCATGACTTTAAGAACGAGAAAAGTTCTGGATTTTCACAAAACAGTAGTTAAAACTCCTAAATATAAATGTAAAGCTAATTTTAACATTTTTTTCAAGTAAGATATTTCAATCTAAGACAAAAATCACGTTTAATTTTGTAACTAATTCAATTTTTATTAAAAAGCTCTAAAAAACCTTCAAATCAAAATGTAACTTTTTTTAATGAACAGAATGTTCTTACTCTCAAAATTACTTTTTTTCCAACTTCTAGATTTGCTAGCAATTTAGCAACATTTTCCTTTCCCATCCTGAATTTTTAAGCTTTTCAGATTTCCTATTCCAGATAAAGAGATTTGAAGTATACTTTTAACCACATTATACAAGCTAAACTAGTTTTGCTCTGTGTTAAATTTGGTAGCTCTAGGACCAACTCCTGCATATTTTTGAACCTTCAAGGACAAAAAAATGCCTGTAGAATCACCATTTATGCACTACACAGCCCTCTGTGCAATATACCTCAATAGTAGAAGTGTTATAGTGACATATTTGGCATCTCTTTGGCTTTTAGGTTTTGTCACTGAGCCTTTGCAGGTGCTATCCCCTTTTGCCTTCCTTCAAGTGTTTTTCTTCATGCTAATATATATGGTGAATTTGTCGATTACTTTGGGAAACTGCAGTGGTGTGGTTTTGGTTCCCAGACAGAAGCACTGAATATCTCAGGTTGGAAGGGGCACATAAGAATCAAGCCCAACTCCCTGCTCCTTGCAGGACTGCCTAAACCTAAGCCATGTGCCTCAGATCATTGTCCAGATGTGCTTTGAACTAGGAAAGGCTTGATGCCTTGACCACTTCAAAGAACTTGTCCCAGTGACTGACCACCCTCTCAGCAAAGATTATGCTAGAGAACAAATCTTAGAAAATATAAACACTCCAGGTGTTGCCTACTTGCAAATCTCCCGATTTAACTTTTTTGTCTCTCAGACAGGCTGTACTCTAATGACTGACTTCATATTTGTGTCAATCTGCAGAACCTTGAGTTTGACTAGACTGAAACAATAACTGAAACAGCTCAGTACTTCATGTGTTACTGCCTTCAGACTTACGTAGAACGCCGTTTACCTCTGCAGTTTATGACAAATTCTGCACACTCTTGGACTTCACTAAGCAATGGATGAGACTAATAACTGCTACATTTGTAAGAAGACCTCATGAGCTAGAACAGGCATTTCCGGTGACAGTGTGTTGGTGGTTTTTGTCCACATTTGTGTTACCTGGAAGAGAGAATGTTCTTGTGGAAAGTGAATTTCCGATACAGGAACTGCTTCTTGTGGAGATATTGAAATGAATGCCCATCATCTATGTACAGCTCGCCTATGGCACAGGCCTGTAAAACACACCGGATAGAGCACAAATTAACAGCAGTTTCTAGTGTTGAATAATGAAACTGTCCCACTATATGTAATGCTTCATATTGAAGGTGTGTGTTTATTTTTCTTTAGCAGCTTGTATCCCTGGAAGGCTCAGGCAATCCAGCTCTGAGAGCGCTGGACATCCTGGTTTTTGTAAATTGATGCAGGTACCATGTGTCATCTCTTTATGAGTAAAGACAGTTGTAGGAAGTTTCCTCTCTGTGTCCAAAAGGAAGTTTGCGGCCTGCTCATTCTCTGCTCCTTCCTCCAAGGGACTAGACAAGGGCTGAAAAAGGACAGAAAAATGTTCTGCCTCTGCTGTACTCAGATAGTCATGCTTTGAGGGGACAGTGGAGGAGAGGTTTGAGTCCCCTCAAACAGCACAAGTGGAGAAGAGCTATTGGGCACTCCAATGTAGATGCCACTGTGTTGATCCAACAGGCAGAAAGGGCCTGCAAAGTCAGATGGAGTAGAAGACATCTTTGTAAAAAGGGAGCACTGTCACAGAGTACCTCTGTGTCTAAGGCCACGCGGAGTTCATAAGAAATATCTATCATCCATTCAGTGGATTTTCCAGCTCTGGTCTTCAGAGGTATCACAGTGCCCCCCCGCTGGAACACAGGAATCTGCAAAAACACAAAGCCAGGGCAGAAAGGTTCCTGCACTCCGATAATATAATTTTAACAAGGATCAGAGATAACAGAAGCTTGCTCAACTTATAAATGAACTTTTAACACAAATATATAAACAAAATATTTCAACTAACACTGGGAATAGTAGCAATCTTCTATATGTATATAAGCAAAATAATTTTGCTTGGAAAAGTAACCCTTGTATCACCTCACTTTACCACCAGGACACAGTAGTGCTTAATCTAACAACAAAGGAGATGGGACTTTTATATAAAAGTTATTTTAGATACATTTCTACAAGGAAATGGAACTGTCACTTTTCTGATTCTGAATATTGACAAAACAAAAGCTTGGGGTTTTTTTCTGCTCCACGAAAGTAGCATTTTAAAACAAAAACATACATTTTCCAGTGTTACTGGGATCTTCACTGTGCCTGCATCTTCCATTCGCTTAAATTTTCTGAAATCATACCAAATCTAGAAAAAATGAAATAAGCATGAGCATGACACATATGCCAAAATCTGTTCCCTCTGTAGATGCAGTTACTCTCCTTAACTTGTCAGTATTCCTAACAACCTATTTAATAGGCAAGAAAATGCATTTACTTTTTAAATTAAATGACTTTCTGGATGAAAATAATAAATTGTAATTTCTGACACACAAAAATAATCTGACCTTTTCTACAGTTTGCATGATGTCTTGTATGTCTTAAAGCATCTGGAAGTGCAAAATAATAAAACACTTAATTTTTAAAAAATATAGTTCTTGAAAAAGCATATTTATATTGAAGTGAAAATTAACATCGAAGTTGCTATTGACAGGTGACAAAAGAGAGCTGCATCTGAATCTCCCATGCACCACACTTGGCAGCAGGTTTAAGTACTTTATGTGTACCAAGCACTCAACTCTCACAGAGATCTTGATAAAAGTATTTTCCTTAATTTGTCCGGAGAGCCTAGTCTGTTTTTCTCCTTAAACTGGGAAGAATTCAAACTGTTCTCAGGTGCATTAGTGGAGTCACAAGGCTCTGCATGGTCTCATACTCTCCCTTCTGCTGCTTACTCTCTCTAGTCTCAGGCATTCCCTTAGCAACTATTTTCCCCAAATCATTTCCCTTTCTCCACTTCACTGCTGCTGTAGCCAAATGCTCTTTGTAGGTGTGAACCACTGTGCCATCCTGTGGATAAATACCTCTACTTCAGAGAGGAACTGCTCTCTGTATGAGTCAGTGTTTGCTATATGTGTCCCAGGCTACTGAGGCATGTCTTGTTAAAATTTCCCTCCCCACAGTTTCCCTCTGATTTCCTTTTGACCTTTCTTCAAAGTTCCCTTTTTCTCTACAAAAATGAGAAGTTTAACACGAAGAAAAATACATGTAAAAAGGAAATTGACAATTTAGGGAAGCTGTTTCATGGTGATTGATGAGCAAGCTTTGAAGGGAGTTTTAAACTGTAGGTGACTTGAAATTTGTGCAGCAGCTCATGGAAAAGCAAGAAAGCAAATTAACTGTGAGCCAAGCAAGAAAGGGATCAAGATGGAAGGAAGGGTTCAGAGTGGCACAGCATGACTAGCCAAGACTTGCCAAAGCAGTAGTGCTCAACAGTTATTAGATGGGGAGCTGGAAGGTTTCTGCATAAAGTACTTATTTGAGTTGAACAGATGAGCAATTCATATACATCTTTACCTCCTCTGACCCTGGAAACAGAACTGTCACTGTCTTGGCCTCTTTCTCTGTGACTGGATGTACCAACAAAGCATTTCCTGGAGAAAAACATAAACACAGCTATAGTCCTCAAGGCTGCATCTCCCCAGATCAGCACCTGTGTGCTCTGGGGTTGTCAACCTCACACAAGGAGCTTGCTTGGGCATGTCATATGCTTAGGTTCATTTTCTACTGAAGAAAAAGGCTTGTGTAGTGGCCTGATGGCTAACTGACTTCAGCAGCCAGCCATACCACAGTAAAAACCAATCATGTTTGGGTGGTAGTTCTTTACTACTGCATTTTTGAAGCAGACTGTGATCTTAGCTGCTCCACAGAACTTGATGTTTCAGGTCAAAACCAATCATGTTTTTTCAAGGTGATTAGTGAGATACAACTGAGTTTTTCATCTTGTATGTCCTCTGTTTTCAAAGTGCTGTTGAAAGTAGGTGCCTTAAAGAGGTCTCAAGTTCTATATTCAATTATAATTTTTTTTAAGTCTTGGACAGTGTTTTTGTGTTTTCTTTTTGTCATGCAACACCTCAAAAATATTTAACTCAAATTGCAGGGTATAAGACCCTTGCTTACCCATCATGTACTCATTTTCCAGATCAAAAGTTTCTGTTTTCTCTGGAAACTCTATCCAGAGAGACCTGTAGAAAAGAAAGATAATAGAATTCAGTTACATTTTTCCTCTCCAATCAACCTGTTCAAGTATTTCTAGCATTTTCAGGCTCCATTTTCTCCCTCTCTTTACAAGGCACAGTTATCAAGAACTGAAGATAGAGCAAGGTTCTCTTTTGTGTCAGTGACTCGAAGTGCCCCTTTGCCCCTGTTGAGAGTCCCCAGCACAGCATAGTTAAGACACTCCAGTATACCTATCTTTACATCTGTGGCATTGATTTCTTCCCTCTTACATTCTTCCTTACAACCTAACAGTACATCTACCTTCCTTCTATCAAAGGAGTGATGAATGAGCCTTTGTCTCCCAGTCTACCAGCAATGCTGGCCCTGATGAGCTAGCGTCTGCAGCACAGTCTTTCCTCTTCCCAACAGCTCCCTGCTGCTTTTATAGAAAGCCTCACCCTGGCCACACCTGAAAAAACTGCACCAGCAGCTCATTTGCAGTCTTTCTCAAAAAAGGGTAGTGTCATAACCATCTGGTTATGGAACAGGAGTTGTATATTTAAAGTTTGAGAGATTATGACAACAATATCTTCTTAAGAGACAGGGTCTGGGTTTTTTTGCACAAAAGCCTGGCTCATCTGCTCACACACAAGCATCCATTTGTTCACTGCAGTCCTACTGCTCATGTGCTTGCTAATGAGACACACTTTCCATTCTGCTTGTCTTGGTGAGAAAATTAGACTTCCTCTCTAATTCTGTACTTACTACAGCAAACTTAACACAATGGAAGTGTGATTTAATACTGTGGGCACTTCACATGCCAACTAAAGCTTCATTTCAAGAAAGACAGAAACCCACTGTCTATGTCAGTGCATAAAACAGGTGCATTTGCACCTACATACATGCAGACAGACACTCACACTACTATGTCTGTAATGCAAATTATTTTCAGAATTCAAACCGCTCAACTCTTGCCAAAAAGACCTGTATGTTTTTAAAATTTATGACATGTATCTGCATAACAAAATATAAAGATAAATGTGAGTAAAAGAATAGTTCTAGGGCAAATGCAAACACATAGATTATAATCTATACCAGGGAGATTAATGACATCAATCTCTTCCTGAAAGAAATGCTGCAGTCAGTTCCACAGAGGTACATTTTGAAGAGGTTAGAGAGCAACAGAATAAATAAATTATTTTATAATTTCATTTCTATTCTAGATTATTAAATTATCTACTAAAAGGAACATTATAAGCAATACTGCAGAAAAAATGAAAAAAACTATTAATATGAAATAAGATTTTATAACAATAATAACAGTTAAGCAGTAACAAATATTTTCATGAGAGGCAAAACGGCATTTACATTTTGAGGTCAACAAGTTCACAGTCCATTTTGCACTGTTTTATGTACTGGTTGGAGTACTATATGATGGTCTTTATCATGATGAAAAGTTTGAAGCCCAGACTACTCTAAAAAGTTTAAAGACTGCAATGTGTTTATTGAATTAGTGTGTTCCAGGTGTCATTTGGGAAAAAACGCAGAACATTATTTTCTTCTGAGAGCCTTAACAAAGCTTGCAGAATGCATGAAAAGAGAATTCAGTATTAAAACTTTTGTTTGCTTTTCTCCCTTTTAATAGTCAAACACGTAACTATAAAATTAAGAGGTGGTAATTTAACCTCCCTTCTCCAAGTAAGCTCCTGCAGAAACCCTCTAGGCCTCCTGGCTCATGCTCTTACCTCATGACCGGTTCAGCCGCCGTGTGTGCCCGATAGAACAGAGTGTATAAGTAGGGCAGGAGGATGTAGCGCTCTCTAATGGCTCTCCTGATGAGCTGGGTGTTCTTCTCCCCAAAGAGCCACGGTTCGCGCCGTTTGCTCTCCAGGTTAGAGTGACCTCTGAAGAAGGGCTGGTAGGCTCCTGCCTGATACCAGCGAACAAGTAACTCTGGCTCTGGATCTCCAATAAACCCTCCCACATCAGCTAGATATTGCGCAGACAAATAAAAATACACAGTTTTGGAGACTGCTCTGAAAAATGTGAAGCTCTCCTCTAACAAACATTCCAAGTGTATAAATCCATACATTTCACCATTTGTTCGCTGTTCTGTTCAGTTGTTGGGCAGCTGCTTGTCCAAACAAGAGTAAAAAACCAGTGCAACAAGTTATGCTTTGAAAAAAAAATCTCAAGAGAGGTTTTGAAGGCTAAGTGAGTGACTTTCCCAGGGACTGAGGGGACTGTCACAGCGATGCTGTGAACAGAATACTACCTGACGTCTGCTGCTCCAGATGGAACACAAACACTGCACAAAAGTTAACGGAGACATGATAGTGAGGGCCAGGTTTCAGGCTTCTGAAACCAGACTAATCTGTGAAACCACCTGGAAATGTGGAGGGCTGTTGAGTTTTCCACTGACTGTGTTAAAGTCTACCTTGGGAATACAAGCTTGGTGGCACCATTATACACAGTGAGAAACACATTACCTCCACAGAATGAAATCCCTGCCATGTTGATGGTAAGAAGCATTGGAATGGATATTTTCAAGTAACTCCACTCTGCCGTGTTGTCTCCAGTCCACACTGCCCCTGGAAATACCCAGTTTCAGGATTATGCAGGAAAATTGAATGTATATCTCAGTTTATTCTTGCAGTTAAGGAAAGAAGACAAGAATAATCGTGAACTACTTTGGAATTCCTCCACATTGCACCTTATTTTTTTCCTTATACATGCGTGCTCCTGAAATAGGCAATAAAAACAGGTATTGGTTTGTCACAGGATAATGTTGCTGTTCTACCTTTGACTCATACACACCTTGCCAGCCTTTCCTGATGTTTTTAATCACTTGCACTCTTATGAGCTAACCACATCAGTATTTCTAAGACAGTTTCTGTCCTCTCTAGACTACTATCAATCAAACTTAAGAAAATAAAGCAGCAAGGAAGGCATCCAGCTAATCCCTACTAACCATACTTCTGTGATCCAGCAAAGAAAGATCGTGTGAGGACAAACGGTCTCTCTTTTCCCGAAGAACGCCTGATGAGTCCTTCTGCAGTTGCCATTTGCTGAAAATCATGAATAGAAAAGTCAGGAAGACAAACTCTATAATTAGGGTACTTTCTACACTGTCTTTTTAGCCTTTCTAAGGCAGAAAAACTAAGACAATTCTGTACCCAGAAATAATACCTATTATTAAATAACATGTTCTTATTAGAATAGACATTAACAAAAATATTCAGTAGTCACAGCCAACATAATTTACATTATTATGGTAGTAAGGCACAGATGATGTCACATTTTCTTGTGACCAATCACAGTTTATTTCAAATATTGCAATATCCAGCAGTTTCAGGCCTTGATGAAGGTTACAGAATACCTACTACTGTATGAAATACCACATCACACATACTCCATGAAAATAACCTGTGTTTGTGTCTCCAGATACTCTACCTGGTAGAATCCATAGAGGTTGTGTACTTCCCGATGCTCCCAGTTGTTGTAGTGGACAGCATCTTTCTGCATTGTTAGTTCTGCCCCCTTGAAGACTGAAGGCTCATTCATATCATTCCATACAAAGAGGATATTAGTGGATGCCTGTGACACAGGGCTTCAATTAGGTCTAAGTCAATCCTGTGACTTAGGAGTGTTTATCTCAAGTGGGTGTCAGGCCAGTCTGGGGTATGAGTAGACACAGCAGTACAAAAACAAGACTTGGTAATTACACTTCTCAGGTCACTTGAAAGCCCCCAGTCATTCATCTCATCCCTCTCAGAGGCCCTTCTAGTCAGGGTAGCAGCCTGCAAGCCCACTTGATCTTTGCAATTCTTAGAAAACTCAGTATGCACTTGTTATTCCTGCTTTGTGGTGAGGGAAAAGAGGCAGGGAAAAGAGAAGTATAAAACAGCTGTAAGGAAAAAAATCAGAGAAGGCCAGAGGTGAAAGCTGGAGAGGAGAAGCAGCATGGGAAATATCTACTATGTGTATCTACTAGGGAAGTGATTTCAACAACTCTACTGCAAACCAGAACTTTGAAGCAGGGTGAGGGGAATGGGAGGTATGCAGCAATGGTCACCCAGACACTTTCAGCACTAGGCAGGAAGGTCAGGATTAAGTGACTAAGCTGTGAGAGTGCACTCCCACACCACTCCTTGTGTGCTATCATGGAAGTAAAAGCTGGAATAGCAGCAGTTGTTTTAGATTATGGGTCTTTAAAATGCCTGCAGTTTGTCCCTTCTACTGCTGTGTTCACTGGTGGCATAGGGGTTCCAACTGTCTGAGTGTACGTTCAGTCCATGGAGAAAATCCTTCTGTGGTACTTCAGCTTATCAGGGTATCTTCCTCTACACAATAATAGAGCTACAAAGGCCAACAATACTGCTTACACAGTATCTTCTCTCTTCTCCCTTTTCAGGCTTTCTGGGATATGTAGATCAGAGCAAATAAATACAAACCTTGTATGTTTTGAAGGCAAATTGATCTGCATACCATTTTCGCACTTCAGGATTGGTAAAATCCAGGTAACAAGAGGAACCTGTGGATGTGGGAGATCCCAATTATTTATCTGATTCTAAGAACATTGTCTTTGCACCTATATGCAATGGCCTAAAGCTACAATGGTTTCCATAGGCAGCAATAATGTAGTTGCTTTTTTTTCTGAAAATAAAGCTCAAGAGCAAATTCCAGGCTGACTTGGAATTCAGTACACCTCTTGCCACGCTGTGAAGGTAAACACACTTAGATTCAGGAGGTCTGAAGCTCAGCACCATTTAAGGATGTCTGCTAGCAGTTTGAAATATGTTCACATATGAACAAGTAGTCAGGGAAAGACAACATCATTGGTATTCTGAGCTCAAACTGAAAAGTGTCACTGAGAAGGTGATTAACTACATCCTACCATGCTGCTACAAGTTGTAGTATGGCCTTGATTTTTCCCATAATCATTCCTTTGCCAGGACTGTGAGCTTCCTGTCTGTAAAGAAGGGAGACAACCTCCTTTGCCTCCCTGCGATGAGATCTTCTCATGAAACATAATATGTCAAATCACTATTACTCTTGAATTACCCACTAAATTTCATGCAGGCTACATAAGCTGTGCTCACTGCAATGGACCAGACTGCATTTCTGTGTCCAAGACAAGCTAGGAAGAGGAATGGCTGTTCTCATCAATAAATCCAACTGTTAGTTCTAGGCATTGGGACTATCTGCAGATCCAATAGATAGAGGTAATCTATACAGCTGAGATAATCAGGACATGATTATACCAACACCCCATTTTTATAAACTAAGTTAATTTTTAATTATTATTATAATTATTAATATTTACAACAAATGTAGGGACTATAAGAATTCAGTTCTGCTTCCATGCATCCCAATTAAACTATTCTGCAAAATTTTAAAAATAAACAGCTTAAAATATAAAGACACAAAGTGTTTTTTACCTGGCCAACAGATGCCCTCAAAATCTTGCCCATTTCTGTCTTTCACAAAATAACCCTTTTCTTTTGCCTGTGCATACAGGGTATATGAGGGATCAACCTTAACGTGAGGATCTACGATGACCACAAGCTGCCAGGGTAAGAAAATAAAACACATAATTAACATCAGCTGTGCTTAATAAAACAGTAAGAGTTCACTTTTGATAGAAGGCAGAGAATGACTTAATCTCAGAAAAAGAAGAGAGCTGTGTCCCGAGTTTTAAAAAGCAGATACCAGGTTTTTTATGTACTGTGTTAGGCACATGTACAGGACCTGAATTCACAAGGAGTGTATGAACTCACCCTTCTGAAATAAATTATAAAAGCCATCGTTTGAGATAAAAGCAAGTACCCCAACCCCTAAAAACATGTTTAATTCACTGCTGTATTCTGTGAATGGGAAAATATCTGACTTCTGTGTTCATATGCCTGCTAAAACCATTTGCCTTAAGACATTTAAATTCATTTTCGTTTATGTAGCATCCAACAGCAACAAGTACTGTGTTTTGCAGTTACATTCTGCGGCTTTGCTGCAGAATTGAGAAAGTACTATAGCTCCAATTGAGAGATTATAAAACATGAATGCTATTTAAACAATCCCCTCTTCATCGATTTTTGACAAATATCAAGCACTGAGCAATTCTACAACTCAATAATTCCATGGAAAATATTTTAGCTGTAAAAACAGAAATATAGAAACACAAAGAAAAGCTGAAGCAACCACAGAAACTATCAATGGTGAAAGCTCATGTTAAGAAGAAAAATTTTATGCTGTGTTCATCAATGACAGCACTGAGCTGCTTCTGTAAGATGGAATTTCACATGGGTCAAATTTATTTGGATTGTCAGGATACAGAACAAACTACTAAATAATAAAATGGCATGAAGAACTGAATTAAACAAGACAGCTTGAATGCTGGAAGCATCACCAGATAGCAACACAGTGTATTCTGCTGTAGTTCACCTGTTTCCAGTATCTGAAGTACGATGCTTAAAGCTAGATCGGGTAGATTCACACTACAGAGAAATATTTTCTTTCTTCCTGCAATATTATTTACCTTGCGTTTTTTCTTCCTGAGATGTTCTTGCATCTTTCTGGGGTTCTGGAATTTCTCTTTGTCCCAAGTAAAATACCTCTTGCCATCTGTGTGCTCTATATCCAGCCATATGACATCATAAGGAATATCATGTGCATCAAAGCCAGCATCCACTTCCTTGACATCTTGTTCATCCTCATAATTCCACCTGCACTGATGGTAGCCCAGAGAAAAAAGTGGGGGCAAGGCTTGAGTGCCTAGAAAGAGTATATGAATAAAGATAAAACTTTCAGTAAATTCAGTCTTTTCACAATGTAAGTTGGCACATCTTGATAGGGACTGGCAGTTCTAGCCCACTGTGTTTCACCTCTTCATCAAAGGGTGCAGTTTCAGATAGCAGTGATTATGCTGGCTTCTCAATTAGAGACAAGTTTGACCAGCTGTGAATGCTAGGGGAAACAAGGACATTGGCCTGTCTTCACAAAACATGAGCCTTTGATCTACACAGTACAGTTTGGGAACAACTGGCCTCCTGCACACAATGGGCTAGGTAAATACTGACCCATTTTTGGGTACAGCGTGTTCCTCAGACAATCTCCTGGATAAGTGTGCCATTCTGACACCAATTATTTGAGTTAGTACCTGTCAGTTGTGCAAACTGCTTGAAGATATCAAATGGAGTGGGTCCCATCAGCAGGAAAACATCAATGATCCCACTTTCCGACATCCAGCGTACATCAGTTAGAGGCACTGCTCTCTGCTTAGCAGTCTCTGCAGCAGATCTGGATGGAGTGTGCTTAGAAGGAAAACAAGGTAATCTGAATCTCTCTCTCTATCAAACTTTTATTTAATGAAGGAGCAAATAGGGAAACAAACAAAATACATTAACACATACCTGGCAGGTATTAGGAATACACACTGAATGTTTCTTATATATCCTTCACAAATCCTTTACCTTGCATACCACTTACACAAGTAGAGTAATAGGTAATGAGAAAAAATGGGTAATGAGTGGCAAAATATTAAAGCATTTCCATAACTAAGGACCATTAATTTTCTGTAGGATCTTTGAGTAATATCTATATCATAAGTAAAAAAAAAAAAAAATTACCACATAATGCAGTGCGTGAAAAACAGGATTTTCTTGTCATTGTTTCAATTTTAACAGAATTAATATGTTTGTGTTTCAAGACTGAGTTCCTTTCCTGAACATTTTATGTTTCTTTAAGGTCAATTACATTCCACAGAAGAATGAGCCTGCTAAGCAGAAATCTGTGGCAATTCCAAGAATTTAAACACTCATAAAAATTTCTCAAATCCAAGTGAGTATCAAGATTTTTGTCTACCATTTTTTCTGCCTTCTACATCCGTGTAGATTTTTTCTATGTATTTTCTCTCTGTACAAGATCTATAACTTGGCTCTTGAAAGAAGTAATCTCTTTGCTCTTTTAGTTTCATACAACAAAATTTAGCAATAGGGAGGACAGGAGAAAGAGACTGACAATTCTTCATTAGTGAGCAAAAGATAAATCTCCGAGAGTGTTATATTCCTGTTGGCCTTGTCCTGAAGTGTTTTCTTTTGTAATTTAATTCTGAGGAAAGTGAGTAACTCACCTCAGCTACTGCCTTTGTACTGATATCCACCAGTGTTTCTGAAGAGTTCAGCCAGAAAATCCCTGAAGTTCTGTCAGGCTTGTGTGCTAAGAGAAGGGGTACTGAACCATAAATACCTATTTTTTCATGGATCTTGTGGCCAAAAATATCCAAATTATAAAGCCGGTAGGCATCACCATCACTAGGACAAACAAACAGATGTGTTTGTTACACATAAGCATCTTGCACTAGGCTAGTTTGAACTCTGTTGCTGTCTCACTAAACCTGGTCAATACTCAGTGAGTGCTCTGTGTTTTGGTCTTTTGTTTAGCATCCAGAGCTTAAAGAGTGACTGCCTAGATTACTGCTTCTTTGCTTCTTTTGGTCCTCACTATCTGAAGCAAACAAGATTTTTACTGCCAGTGAGGCTGCTGTGTGTTTGCTTTAAATCCTAAAATATTATTTCTGAATTCTCCCATCCTCCCATAGAATTGCACTTTTATGAGTTCTGCTGAAACATAACCAATCCTGGAAGTCAGAAAAAAACTGCATGGAAAATTGGGAGAGAACAGAAAGGGCCAGTCATGAAATTGCACACTCGGGAAAGCAGAACGCCTTATTCCACATGAATAGGGGCTACAATTCAACTAACTAAAATATTAAACTAAAATATACACTATATAATATACATATCTCAAGCTCTTGTCTGCATTAAATTATTAATACAATGTTATAGCTCTCTTACAAAATAAAAAAAAAAAGACTGCATTCACTAGCAATCTGATGCCTTGACACATTTACCTGGTGTTTTTGAGAAGAAGTGTTTCTGTGCGTTGTGGTATTCCATAAACATGGTCATATCCATGTAAAGAGAAGTCCATGCCTACAGATGTAGGACCTGTGGAAATAATATTAAATTATGAGAATGCAGAGTTCTTAGGCTTATCTGAAAGGATTAAAGCAGAGCAACTTAACTGGATAAATCCAAAGAAAATAGGTTTTAACGTTTCAATAATTAAGTCTTTCATGCTTCCTTTCAACTCCACTTCCATTATTATTTCTGTTCTATAGAGGTAATGTTTGAAACAGATTTTATTGCATTTATTTTGATTTTCAACTTCTTAGCAAGATAAAATGAATCACTTTAACAGGAAAAACTCCCAAATCCCTGGAATCATGGGTCACTTCTTTATTCAGTAGTGAAACCGCTTAAAATTATCTCCTGTTTCTATCCCAGTACCTAAAAGCCAAACTTTGTAGCACAGTGGATTTCAGGATCTAAATTGTCTGTTTCCCACTGGTCTTCTCTTCAGCCTCAGCCAGGGGAGTAGCATGCACAAGAGTCCCTACCAGTGATATCATCCTGTCACACTACTGAATCCAGAGCAACTTTTGGCAGGCAACCAGACATCCTGTACACTGACAAGCAGTGCCTTCAGGATCAGAATCTGATCAAATAGACTTTATTCCTCTGACACAGAAAACACAAAAACATGATGCTGGGCTAACACATGAGAACTAACATGAACAAGGGCAGCAGCTTCCTGCTCTCTGTGTCTTGACCGTGAACTGAGGAAGTTTCCGCAACCAAAAGAAACTGCTTTCAGACTTCTCTCCTCCTACTGCAGCTGCTGGGTGGTGTTGGTTGCTATAAAAGTCTACATGACAATGCAAATGGACAAAGCTAACCAAACTTAATTAATATAGAATAAAATGGGATAGACAGCAGATCATCATCTATTTTGGTAATTTATAATTTAAATTGCATTTGAGCTGCTACTCTCATGTGTCTATAACCTTTGTCTTTACCATTTAAGATTGCTCAGTATTCCCTTTTTTAGTCCACCCTTCAAAAAAAGTCTTTGTGACAATTATTAATGCTTAGATATCATGATTTCTGATATGTCAAGAATAAACTACAGGTGGAATCAATGATATGTACTAATACTAAGAAAAAAGAAAAGAAAAAGGAAATAATGTATTATATACAATATATATATGTAAAGTCAGACAATGCAGATAGTCTTAATGCTGTGTCAGAAATGGCATACAGTGAGTTGATGAAATAGGTCACATTTAATGTGTTCCCTCTTAAACAGAGATCAAATGAACATTTGCAGAGTTTCTGTCAAATTGTTCCCTATCACTGATTACTGATTTAAAACAAAGTTAAGGCAATTGAAAAGCAGGGGCAAGTGGGACACTGATATACATTAAGCAGCTAAACAGAAAGCAGATAGAAATATGAATGAACATGGGTACATACAAAATAGTAAAGCTGTTTTCAGAACTAGACTGAGACTTACCATGAGCTTTGATGTCCAAGAAACTGTCAAATTTCTCTTCCCAGAGACCTAGGTCCTCTTGTTTTTCCTATACAAATAGAAATAGCTAAGCCTAGCAAATGAAACTGCGCACATAATGTAATTTTCAGATATAAGAAAAATATGTTTATTCACATGAGATTTATACTGCCTTTATTTTTTGGCCACATATGGCTAATATAAATAAATCAAAAACACAAATCAGATTCAGCCCCAGGAATTCACGCTGAAGAACTGATGTGTATATGTTGTACACAAGCAGTCTGCTATAGCGTAAAAATAATATCTCAGGTCTTGGATAGAATCACAGACTGATAGACTAGCCCAGTTTGAAAGGGACCTCAAAAGATCACCTGGTCTAACCTTTAATGGTAAAGGGAGCCTTGATGAGATTATCTAGCAGCCTGTCAAACAAATCTTAAAAACCTCCCACGATGGGACTATGTCACATCCCTAGGAAGGTTGTTCCAGTGAGTGATTATTCTCACTGTAATAAATGTGTTCCTCCTTGACTTAAATCTATGAAATGCATGGGTAGAACCAAACAGAAAAAAAACCATACAAACAGAAACCAACTCACTCCCCCAAATAGTAAAGGTCAGAAAACAGAAAAAGCTCTTCAGACACTCTGGAGCATCTGTAACTGATATTTTTAACCTCCTTGTGTCCTGTAATTCATAGTCGTAGAATTTACACTTCTTGCAGTGCCCTCCCTAGTTTTCTTTTCTACGTTCATCCCACAATAAGTGGACATGGCCTCTTGCAGCTGTGTGCTTTCCCCGGCAGAAATCAGAGCTCAAACATAAGTATGCTGAAGGCAGCATAGCTCCTGCCATTTATAACAGGATAGCAGAGTAAGCAGCCATCTGCTCTGCAGGGGGCTAAAATTATATGCCAGACACAGCTCAGCCTCCTGGGAAAACTGCTATGTGCCTCTATGCACTGCCAGGACCTGCTCTATTTTAAGAGAGAATTTTATTTCCGTATTAAGCCTGAATGTATGTAGAGACATATTTTTTGACTGTTACAAAAAGGGTCTCATTATTTTGAAACTCCCTTTGCATTGAACAGGGAATTTGAAAATGACAAATATCACCACAAAGCTCCCTTTTACACATCTAGTCCAGATCAAATAAGAGAACCAAAGAAAAATAAATTAGTAATAAAAAGGCAATAGGAAAAAAAAAAAAACAAACCCGTTTTTTGTGCTAAATGTACCTGACTGATGCCTTCTACAGACATGGTAAAACACATAAACCTCCCTTCAACTATGAAATTGTAAAATACCTCACAATGTTATGCCAGATCATTTTTGGAAGTGGTTAGACTGTATTTGTAACTTACTAAAGGGCAAAATGAACATGTAATTTAATTTTCTTTTCAAAATATTCCTGCCAGAATTGCAGTAAGCATGGGTTACCTTAGAGGAATCACTTGCTGCCTCCTCATTTTGTGCTGTATGTTTTCTAATGGAAACAAATACATAGAAATAATCAGTTTATTGTTAACATAAGCAAGGATTTGAAACAGAAACTTATAATAGCACCATGCATTGCTTGAAACATTATGTAAGACTTCTGGTGCAAAGCTGGAAATAATTTTAATATTCAATGCCTTAAAATAACCTTCACTCACTACTTGAGTTAGATTGTTTTCCTGGCCTTTCATGTTTGTTTCTATGTGCATCAGCATTTTACCTGCCCTCACTATTTTCTCATTCTGCTAAGGGCTCTCTGTTAATTTCAATGTTTAAAATGATGCTTCACAAGAGAGATGCTTGCTATTCCCGTTTTCTAATCATGACATGTCCTGCACTGAGGTTTCTCATCCTTCCAGAACTTTGTAGTGTGATTAACCTATGACATCTTGCAACTGGATGGCACACTGTAAGTTCAACAATACTTGACTTCTAGTGAATAACACTTACTTAAAGAGTAAATTTAGTGAGAAAAAATATGAAACTAGTAACCTCATCATACTACCATCACTCTTTCCCAAGAAAGACAAGGGGTACCAGGATATCTTAGTATTTTGCAGAATTGGCCATTAAATGAGGTTAGCATTTTGCACATGGCTCCTGCAAGGAATTAAAGCAGTCTACAGCTGAGTGATCAAGAATTTGTTTGTTAAAACTTCCCCTTGTATTTACTGTACTTATGAAGTAAAAGAGAAGTCATGTTTCAGTGCATAAGAGCTTTCAGAAATTGCAATTACATAGTTTATTTTTAGCTACAGCACAACCAGTATATACAATGATGTGATAGACAAATGCTGTACCTGTCACTGGGAGGTGGTTGTAGATGCTCAAAATACAACAAACCATTGGAATTCACACTCATAACAGTCTCACCCTTGGACTGCAGCTCAACTTGGAAGGGGTTTGCTGTGACTCGAAGTCTGTAGTCTTCATTAACACTTGACAGTACCAAAATACCTGCCTCCTTATTGGATATGAACAGTCTGGCAAATGAAAAATAACAACAGCTTTATATCAATCAGCAGCACATGAAATCTGCTGTAACTAAATAACAATTCATACAAAAGATGGGCTAAGAATATCTGCACATATTACACAAACCTCAAGGCTAATGTTGAGCCAAAGAAGGCCAGAAATACATGCTGTGCTCAGGGTTCACTGCATAGTGCAAAGAGTGGCTACAGAACAGCCATGAAAACTATCCGGAGCTTGCATTCCTTTTACATTAATAGGTAATGCCTTAGGTAAAAACTTTGCATTGTAACAAGTAGGCTATTTTCTGATGGGGTCAAACAGGCTCAGGTTTCTTATGTGTATGATAAAACATTCTCCTAAGAATTTAACATAATTTTTTAAAAGTAAATAAAACATATGCATTTTTGTTTTCTCTTCCTGTAACGACTTTATATTGTAGAGAGACAACTGTACTGTAATATAATGGAGGAAGATGTATAAGATATTGAGGCGCTAAATCATCACTTAAATCACTCATCACTTACCTCTGGGTGGTAGGTTCCTTTATAAGAACATCAGGAACTTTGTATCTTGCTCTGAGAGGAGATGCCTCATCAATTTTAAGCCTGAAAATATTGCCTTCTATTTCATAAATTTCTACTTGCAGAAGAACCTGTGAGCAAACAGAGAAACTCCTAAGGATAAAAAATACTTATTTTTAACACAGCATCACCAAACACTTACTGTCTGGGAAAAAATGAACATGTCTGCTTTCTGATTTAATGTTCTTTAGCATTGTTGAGAGTAAAAATCATCACCCATATGAATTACACTAGCTAACTCTACTTCACCTCTTTGAAGAAGCAATGCCTTTTAAGTGAACTCTTTTTCTTCAAGCATCTGATATCTAGCATTACAGAAAAAGAAGTTATTATTTTGAAATAGTGGAGAAAACTCTGAATTAAAAATATTTTTCAGAAAAAAGTGTTCTATTCGTAACTCTTTTTTTTTTTTTTGTTCTTAAAGCCATTAATTTTTTTTAAAGTTAAATGCTGATTAGTAAGGGCGTATTTAGCCTGATAGTTTGCATTATCTCTCAAATATCTATCACTGAGGAATCTCAAAACCTGCAAATATTATTAGTTGTGTTGACAATATTCACTGCTCTTTCTGTAAGCACCCTCTGATGCTTTGTGGTATCTCACCTTATTCTCCTCATGAATGATATGGAATTTGACACTCTCATCACTTAATGTGACTGAATCCAACAAGACTCGATACAAGGATTTTCCAGGATGTAGAAGCTTCTGACGCCTGCCAAGACAGAAAATTATTTTTGGTCTCCCCAGCTCTTGTAGCGTATATCATACAGAGGGACATAATATTGTTTAAAATGTTTACTTAATAATTTTTTATTGAACATTTAAAATTACAATTATTAGCACTTTAAGTCAAGAGAAAAAAGAAGGAATATAGTTCTGAGCACACCTAAATGCTTATGAACGAGATGTTAGAGGGGTTCAGGGGTTCACCTGAACTCTATATGGCTTTTTTAACAATAATACTCTCAAGTGTCCAGTTCTTAGCTGTACAATTTCATTATTGTTCTTTTTTATCCCTGATATTTCAGTTGAATATTCTGTTTTTCATTTTCTGTCATATATCCCTCTAACTCCCCAAGGAACACCTTCTACATCCTGGGATGATGAAACAGCGTGTGTTTGTAATTTGTAACTTCCAAATATGTGCCAAGCAAATTGTTTCTCAAGAAGTTTGATGACAACAGAGTTTTGACAACATCTTTTGGCCCTGATAATGTTTTTAGTCAGAGATCCTGAAATAAAGGCTCTTTCAACTGTTTGTAGAATTCTCCATGCCAAGCCAGGTTTTATGATCTATTTGAAGGTAAGTGTCTTGGAAACTACCTTAAAGACAAACTTCTTCATTAATAAACAAACTATGTCAGTGACTAATTGGGGTACCAATAGGCAATCATCTCTTTCAGTCAGTTAGCATAGGAAAGAACACAGTGGAGGAAAGAAAAAGGTCAGCAGCACAGTTAGAAATGGGATGAGAAATATGACTTAGCATAAGGTTAGCTTTAAGGGACTAGTGAGCTAGAATTTAGATTTGACACTGAATTCTGGCCAAGGTACTTGCTCAACAGGACTGTAATCACACATACTATTGTCACAGATTAATGATTTCTATTGAGTGTTCTGCTGCTTTGAACTGCAGATAGGCAAGAAACATTCACGTCAAGAGAACAACCTGCATCTCATGAGTGCACTTAAATTAAAATATTGCTGGGGCTTTATCAGATGAGTGGACTGATCCTTTCGAACTTTAACCGAAGACATTCTGGGTATACAACTACACGTTTTGAAGTCCACTGATTATTGCTTGCTGGTAGGTAAGTGGAATGCTCACCTTTGAAAGATAAATCCTGTAATAGCAGACTTGCTGTGGTTAAAAGTCAATGTGTAACTACACTACAATTCGCCATACCTGTAAAAAGCAATCTGGTTGCATTTCTTATAGTTTCTTTTGTCCACAGCCTCATCTAGGACACTAGAAAGAGCAGAAAAAGGAAGTATTTAGATGTGTCCATCACACACCTGCTGAATGATCAAATGATGGGGGTCCTTCTCAAGAGTGGTCAGAATTAAAGACAGTGCAGAAAACTCTGGTCCAACATAAAATGTGATGGACCTTGAACTACTGTGTTTAGATATGGGAAGAGTTTCTTATACATTTAGTTTCATGCTGAACTATTTCCTTTTAAACCCTGAAATTCTGAGAAATAATTGAATCTATGAGTAACAAAAATGGATTTGAATTATTATGGGTTTGCATTTTGAAGCCAGACCTCCCTTTGCAGTCATTACAGTTAATTATTATTTTCCAGTAATAAGAATGGAGAAATGGGGAGGATTGGCAGACAAGAAGAAATCCTACACCCTTTTCTTCAGCCTTCAGGGGGACCGACAAAGAAGAAAGGCTTCCGATGGTCCTGCTGAAAGCTCTATGTTACCTTTAGGCTTGAAGTAATTTTTAGATTCATTAGATAACAGTAAATTTTTAATTTGCCTGAAAGAAAATAGGCTGCCATTAGCGTCTACCATCAAAATACTTCCCAGATCACGCTGGGTTCAGATACAGATGGAAGGGAATAAGGTATTAATGATGCCAGATAAAGCGCTGATATTTATACCATACTTATTAATTATATACATAGGAAATGCAGACGGCACCCACTGAGACTCAGTCACAATTACAAGTCCTGGATTATTATTTGAGATCTCACAGTGACCGTATCACTCAGCCCTTCCCATTATTGCCTGAAGACACGTATGTCCTTTCGGGTTTTGCTCCAAATTTGTATGCCTCTATTGGCGCACTGAACACGGTGCAGCCCGCACTACCCTGGCGCTGTGGATCCGCTCGCTGCCCCGCTCCGCCGCGGGAAGTCTGTGCCCGGGCCGGGGGCGAGGACAGCACGGCACGGTACAGCACGGCACAGCACAGCACGGTTCGGCCCCCCAGGTCCGCCCCCAGCCCCGACCCGCAGCGTGGGACCGCGTCCGCACCCGCCGCTCCCCGCGGAAACCGGTGGAGCCTCCAGGAGCAGCGGGAGTGAGGAGAAGGGCGGCCGAGGAGCGCCTCCCCGGCTGCCTTACCTGACTCCCCCCGGCGTCCCCGCCTCCATGACGGAGCTGCCCGAGCGACCCCCACGGAGAGAAGGGGTGGCGACCCGCCGCGCCGGCCGGGAAACACCGCGGGCCCCGAGTGCGACCGGGCCGGCGAGTGACACCCGGAGGCGGTGACAGCCCGGGCCGAGCCGGGAGCGGCTCCGCCCAGCGCCGCTCTCGCCGGCCCACGACGGCCCCGTCCCTCCGCGGGGAGCGGAAGAGGCGCGGCCAGCGCGGCGCGGCCTCGTACGGCGGGATGGCGGCGGCGGCGCCGCGCTCCGGGGCACGGCGGCGGCCCGGAGCCGTCCTGCTGCGGCTGCTGGCGGTGCTGCTGCTGGCGGGCACGGCGGGCGCCGGGCAGCGCTCCAAATGGCGGCTGCCGGTGCTCCTGGTGAGTGCGGGGAGCGGGGCCGGGCCCGGAGCCGCCGGGCCGGCCGCTGTGGCGACGGTCGGAGCGAACGTGTGCGGGCGGGAGGCCGCGGCTGCTCCGCGCGTCCTCCTCGGGCGGGACTGCGGTCGGGGGCGTCCCTGCCCGGCCGCGCCGCTGTGGAGCCTGACCCGGAGCTGGTGCGGGAACTCGGGGCCGCGGCTGCCTCCTGCCTCGCTGCCGGGACTGAGCCCTCTCTGGCGGGTCGGAGGCGGCTGCAGGGGTGAGAAGGCTTGTGCGGGAAATAGTCCGGTGGGCGGCGGAGGGAGAGCCGCGCCTGTGAGGCCCGAGGGAAGGAGGGAGGGTCTCCCCCGGCTGGAGCCCGGTCTCGGTGGGCCCTGTGCGGGGACGGCCGCCCCGCGCCCCCCGTGTGGCCGGGCAGCGCCCTGGCCTGGCCTCGGGAAAGCCGGCCGCTGCAGCTGGACCGAGAGACGCGTGGGCCTTAGGGCAGCTGAAGGGATTTTCGCACTTCTGATAAACCGTGCCTGCTTGAATTTGCGTGGAGGAAAGCTCTTCTGCCTCAAATTCGCTTGGACTTTATCGGGCAGTGAGAGTAATGCACTTTATGTGAGACACTTCTGAGCCTCAGGAACAAAACTGAAGGATCACAGTGAATACTCCTGTTGGTTCTTAGAACAGAATTTTTTTTGTGTTGCATGGTCCAGACCATCTCATCAGCAAGAAAATGGTAATTATTTCAACAGATGTCAACGTGAAGTTGATTCCGTTTGCAGATCAAAAAACCCCAAGCCTCTTAAACCGCCTAAGAGTGTGTTGGAGGGTGGTGAAGCATGACTGGAAAGTCCAGTAAGACTGGCTCCAGATTTTACATTTGCTTTCATTACTGTATTGACTTAAAACTCAGAATGGAAGATTATGTTTACTTAAGCTCAATGACATTATACCTGATGCCAAAAGATTTTTGCATTTTATATATTTTTCATCTATTAATAGCTCTGTAGACTATTACTGTATACTTATATAATTCACTAGCTAACTTCAGTACTTCTACTACCCTGTTAGGTTAGACAAACACATTCCTGGAATCATACTGTTATCTTGCTTCTTCAGTGAGCAGAGGACATTTCACTCTCCCATGTATTTAGGCATAAACAATGTGCGGCTAGATTCTAGCAAGCGGGAGGCTTCCGTAGGTTGAACCAAGAGGGGATTTACTTCATTAACTGTACTTCTGATTGGGTATTCTTGTTAATTATGCTAATCTGCTCAATTTAGAAAAGTGTGAAGCCCTATCTCAGGTGTGCATTCCACCATAAGTGCACCTGTAGAGCCATCAGTTAGTGGTAGCTGCTTTTTTTGCATTTCTGACTTGTTTGTTTTGTGATTTTTGGGCTGATAAGGCATCAAACCCACTAATACCTCTGCCTTTTTTGTGCCTTTGCAGGACAAGAAGTTTAGCTTTGGGAAGATTCTCTTCAGCAACACCACCATTTTCCTGAGATGTAAGTGATTACAAGGGATTAACCCGCTCTCTCTGCTTTTTGATGCCCCGCCTATTTTTAACATTTGGAACTCAAAACACTGTGAAGTGTTTAAGTGCACTGGCTGCAGTGACAGCTAATCTGACACCGTACAAGAGCCACAGCTCTGAATAGGTTGAGTCTGTTAACAGCCGTGGAGCTTCCCAGTTGTGATCTGCTTAGGTTGTAGCAGAAATGAATGGCTCTATTCATGCTCTCTGTGGAGGGGGCAAAATGGGCAATGGGAGCACCACTTTGTTTCAGGTAGTGGGTAATCATGCGTGGGGTGTGCTGTACTCTGCTGTGAGGTGTGCTTTTCCTATCTAAGGTTTGTTAAATTCCCCTGTCTGGGAGATCTGGTGCCAGCTGGACAGGGGCTGTTTGTATACTGATGGGAATACAGAAGGCAATGTTTTTTAAATCCTTGTTCCTTCTTTGCTGAGTGCTTCTGGGTGTTGTAAGGGAATGTTGCACACTGCAGCAGAGCTCAACCCGAGAGGTGTTTTCTCCTGATCCCAGTGTGTGAGTGGGATCATAGAGGTTCTTCTGTCGAGCAAACATGTTGGCAGCCTTCCCGTTTCTTCTGTGCATTGCTCTTTGCTGATCTGTCCAGGTCTATGGGTTATGTAGGTTACTGCTCCAAGAAAAGTTTCTGTGACATACCCTCTTACCTGTGAACATGAGGACAGCATCTAGATGGCAATAACATGTTATAGAAGTGACTGGCGTATTTAGAAAGGTGTGAAATCTTTGCCATGCACTTTGAACATTTTAAGTGGTTGGTTGCACTAGTTTTTACCATGAGGGAAAGCTTTTTAGTCTCTGTCTGGTGTCTGTACTTCCCTTGTGGTTTTTCAGGTTTAATTTCTAATACTTGGGACACAGTTTCAAGGAGAGTTTGTTAAAATGCCTGTCTTGATCCTACATGAATCTGAAACAGGAGGGTAGAATTTGAGTGGTTATTACAGAAGGTCCATCACTTCCGTGTTAAGGCTTTCCCACTTGCCCAGTGTAGCTGAGACACTGAGGTTTGCATCTTGCAGTGAGGCAATTGCAAGCTGCAGGATCAAAATTAGAAATGTGCTTGGGAATACGAGGGGTGTTGAAACGGCATTTTGGTGTTTTGGTAGGTTTTAGGCTTTCTTGTCTAAAGTTTAATAGAAATAGTGTACTTGTAGTGTCATGGCATCTAAGATACAGGTCTCTGAAGTGAAGTGTGTGGTAAATCTACTTGTGCTGAAATAACTGAGAGAAAGAATTAAGGCATGAGAAAAAAAAAAATTTGTTTCAGGGCAGATCTGTCAGTAAGAATTCAACCCCCTGCCTCCTCACGTGGAATTGAATTACACTGTGCTGTCAACCTTTAAACAGGCATTAAGCCTTAAAATTCTTCAGTTAAGACACCTGTTTTACATACCAGTGTGATTAAAAGATTTACATGAATTTGGAAAATGAATCACTGAAAGAGGAAGGAACAAAGGCTGGGAACGTACTCATTTTCTCAGCCTAGATGAAACTTAAACTGCATCTGAAGCTGGGAAGTTTCAGCTTTGTGATTTTTCTTTTCTGCCCACGTCTGTGTGGAAACTGGTATCCTTTTGTTTCCTGTCTGCTGCCTCTTACATCTGCTGTGTGATGTTTGTGGGGACAATTACCATTCTTGCCAAACATGATTACTCATGGTTTTCCTGAGCACCTGCATCTCCTTATCTCCTTTTCCCCCCCTCTTCTTGATTTTTGGTTTTTTTGTTTTGTTTTGTTTTGTTTTGTTGGGTTTTTTTGGGGTTTTTCTTTTTTTTTTTTTTTTTTTTTTTTTTTAAACTGTATGGCACATTAGTGTCTGATGCTCTCTGCTTCTGACTTGGAAGATTGCTGCTGGCATGTAGTGTGGTCAATAATGAATTTATTTTTATCTACTTTTTTGAAGTGCTGTTCTAGAAGGCATTTAGTTTCTTGTATAGGATCGTGATAGAAGTCCTGCTCTCTGTGAATGAGCACAAAGACTGCATTCAAGTTGAATATTACTGGCTTTTGTTTGAAGGCTGAGGAACTTAGACTTCCATATTGCTGAATTCAGTAAATGCCAGGGATACTTTTTATGACTTTTGAAGTACTTCCTTTTCAAAGTTTCTCTAATTTTGACGCTTGCAGATATACAGCAGATTGTTCTAGTGACCTATTTTACCTTTATGGGTGCTACCACTGAATATGTAGTTGCCTATTTATTTTTCACAGAGAAAAAGGTATTTAAAAGGTATTTCGAATCTTATTTTTTGCTTGCACTTTTTTTTTTGAGATACTCCTCATTTGATCAGTTTTATCAGAAGAGCCTGTGTCATCAAAGAATTTGCCATCTGCCCATGTCACTGCAGTGCTTGTGCTGCCATTTAGTTTCTTTGTTGTGCCCTCTGCAACATCTAGGGCAATATGGAACATGTATGCCTCGTTTTCATGCTTACCAGGAGGTGTCATAAAGAAACTAACTTTTTTCAGTGATTTTGCTTAATTTCTTGGTGTTCAGCTGTTGAGTTTTTAGCTGTATGTATTTTAGTACTCATGAGATGTAAAGTGGGATTAATCAACTAATACGCCTGTGGCAGGGTTTTCCTTCTAATTGCTTTTTCTACCTACAGTGGTCAGTATGGAAACATTCCTTAGAAGTGAACATGTAAGAAAGTTGTGGATGCATCCTCTGATATGAATGTTGTCTGGAAAGTTGTAGGAACTTCTTAGCCACTGCAAGTATTCTGTTAACTTGTTTTGCCCTTTGCTGATTGGGAAACACAAATGTAGTCATCTAAATGGCTCTCCTAAGACTCTGAAAAGTCACTCCTCGTTTTATTTAAGGGTTGATCTTGCCTTCTTAATGTCAAATTCTCTTCATCAGACTTTAGTTTATGAATGAGATTTGAAACACAAAACCCCACACAACCTTTCCTGATCAGGGAGAAAGTCTTGTGTTTCCCTTTTCATGCCTGTTGTTACTAAGCTAAATCAGAGAGGAAAGTTGTCTTATTGTTGTTTTAGGTAGTAGTGCTGCTTTGTCAGCATGGGCTAATGTATAGATAGATACCTTGTTTGTCTTTTAGGAGGCTGGATATTGACTGGCACAATCTTACCTTCATTTCCTTGGTGGTGGCATTGATATATTTAAATAATATGTGGAAATGGCTTAGTATTATCCTGTTCCTAGCTTTCTCTGC